TGTAATTGTTCTTAGGTCTTTTCTTAGCTGTTCGTGATGTCCTGCGAGAAAGTCAAACACTATGTTAATCTGATTTACACTTGAGCTTTTGCACTCTTTTTGGTGCCTGCACGTAGTTCCGTGTATTTTTTTCAACAGTTCTCTCCGCAATCTTACCAACTTGGCAAACTGTGCCTTATTATTATTATTATTACTATTATTATTACTATTATTATTATTACTATTATTATTATTATTATTATTATTTATTTTGATGTGCGAAGACGGTTTAGGCCATTCAAACTCTAGTTGAGACTAGTATGAAGTTACAGTTGTGATTTTGAGTGATACATCTATGCCATAGATTATTAGTTTTATATATTCGCTAGTTTGCAATTCTAACAAATATTTGGAAAACTAGTGAAAACTAGTGTAAACTGCGTCGGTGTTTTCAGTAAAACAGTTGATAGATAGATAATTTGTAACACCGTATGGTATGTAAAAATGAAACCGGACGTTTCGGACGTTAGTCCTTCATCAAATAGTTGGATAATTAACTGTTATGGATTACAAAGAAATAAGTGAGAATTCATAAATGATGATGAGTTTTTTATTTCTAGGGGAAAGTCATTCCAGTTTCTGGCTGCTGCGTAATGCACATCAAGCTGTCCATAGTTTAGATTCTTACGAGGAAGAAAAATATTTTTGTTAGTTTTTGATCTTGCATTATACTGATGTGAAAAATTGGCATTGAAAATTGCGCAACAGTCTGTCCATATTTGGGAATTGCATACTTTTCCAAACAAGCGTTGCTCATAAGCTGTTCCCAAGTGGGAGTGTAAAGCCAGCATACCTACCGTATGAGATTGGAACGATTTTGAACTGGTCGGTTCCCGAACCCAAGGAGAAAACGGTTGCAAAACAGTAAACGATGGAACAGTTGAAGAGTAATGTAAAGAAAGAATTATCGATATTAATTAATTCATAAGAGAAAAACCATTTGTGCCTCAGTGAACGCCAGAGAGTCTGTGAAAAGACATCTGGATTAGATGGCCGAATAGGGAGCATAGGAAAAACATTACAAGATAGGAATCAGAAAACGAAAAGAAGATGTTTTTAATTAAATTAAAGTCATGTTTGGGAAACCGAAATGTCAACGATAATGAAAAGTCGTAAATGATGACTGACATTTCGGTAGATGGAAAAAAAACAACGAAAGGATTTTGTCCTAATCTTGCTGAATATTAAGTAACTGGGCGCTGTCAGTAATCGACTGATAGCCCCACTTTGAAGCAGACAAATCTCTGTTAATTTCGATTAACTGCTAAATATTATTTTAGTACCTGCTAGGTAACGATGTAATCTGGTGACTGTTAAGTTGCTAAAAAATTTCATATAATATACGTAAATATTATAATTTTAGGATAGTTCAAAGTTTCTCCTAAGGAATTGGGAGCTAGCTAATTATTATGCTTTATTTTAGCTAGCCAATAGAAATGATTGTAAGAGATATCAATCAAGAAGCTTCTGCTTGACGTCATCTCATTAAAGGAGTACTTGGATGGAAATGGATAAAAATTGGAAATGACTTTAAAAACTTAATTAAACGTATCTATATGGCCCCAATCGTAACCAAGCAACATATTTTTTTCACAGTAAAATGTCTCAGATAAAAATTATCAATTTTATTCAGTATCTAAATTGTAAGTAAATGACGTCATTTACTCAACCCTATTGTTCTTTTCTCTTTTAACCCAAAATATCTCAACTGCAAGTGGCTCCCAGACTAAAATTTTCACTAATCTTGTTTTTGTTTCTTATGGGTTGCCTGTGGTGTGTAACGCACTTTCTAGCAGAGAGTGCGTTACCAACGGGTATTGACTTGAATTTAATCGGCTATCAGTTTACAGCGCCGATCTGATCACAGCACAGATCTGATTACAGCTAATGTAATAGGAAACCGATCACAACACAGGAAACCCAATTATTCGGACTTTGAAAAATTGGGGCGTTTTCATCCAAGTGCCCCTTTAATTTTACCAATACTATTTAAGTGCATATAGCACAAAATTCAGTTAGTTGAAGTTGAAGTTGCAGTTGCAGTTACAGTTACAGCTGGAGTCAGAGTTGAAGTTAATTGGAGTCACAGTTAGTTACAGTTGGAGCTGGAGTTACAGTTGCAGTTGGAGTTACAGTTGCAGTTAGCTCAGTTGTACTCGCAAAGGAGAACAGAAGACCCACAAAAAGGATGAAGAAATCTTATTTGTCCGAAAGGGAAGTAACACTCCCCCACTTCCCCTTGTGACAGTAAGATAGAAACTAAAAGATAGAGTGAAGTCATTTAACCCGTTAAATACAAATTAGACTAATATTTTTTAGTAGATACTAATTCCAACGTTTTCTTTTGTGTCTATTTGACTATTATACGTTGACTAGTATTTTTTAAAACGGTCATACGAAAACTGCTCTTCTAGGGGTAAAAGTACTATGTATCCGATATGAAAGACATTGTACCTTGCATCGAGCACAGGGAGCCCGGCTTTGGGATTTGTACATGAATAAATGAATCAATAAAGTGCTTTGGGTTTCCTGTGTTGAGATTTGAAACAAGACGTTGATACGTTGAATTTCCGGTAATCGTACTACCAGTAACTTGATAGCAGATTAACGTAACGTATCAGTGTAACGCAAGCCCTAGAAAATGGTAACTAGGGCGTGCGTTACACTAATACGTGCGTTACACTTTTAAGCTGCTCTCGAATTACTTACATTAATCTGCTATCAAGCTACCAAAGCTCAACACAGGAAACCCAAAGTAATAATTTACTAGTGTTGACTTATTTATCATTGGCGTCTTGTTTCAAATCTCAACACAGGAAACCCAAAGCACTTTATTGATTCATTTATTCATGAATTAATGAATCTTCAGAATCATTTTGTGTATTTAACAATGCCTCATATAACATCATATTCATTAGCATATTGGAGGTATAAACCTTGATGATATCTCGAAGATGCATCGCTCAAATCACATAGAAATATTTTACAATTCAACTATTAGGGTTGGCGCACTCTACCAAATCAAATCCATCAAAATGTGTAATCAAGAAGAAATAGAAAATGCGCGCCCGTGCTGTGTGCAGTTTTATTATATAGTTAGGATAATACGGTCGCGCTGATTGGTAGGAAACTGTGCTCTATTAGTAAACGGAGCACAGTGCTGACGCCATCCGCGCGCGAAATGCTGCTAGATCCTGCGACCGTCTTCCTTTTTGCATAAATTCAATACCGAAATAAAATTAGTAACTATATAATAAAACGAATAAAACAGCTTTTTTCCGTGCTCCGTTCAGTAATAAAGCACTTAGGAAGCGCTGTAAGCCCTCAAGACGTTCTTTCGTGCTTACGTCACTTCCTGCGTGCTTTATTACTAGACGAAGCACGGAAAAAGCCGTTTTATTTGTTAAATAAAACACGCGGGGGTTGGCAGAACACGAGAGAAGTGTTAGGAGAAGCACGACGCGTAGCGGGGTATTTCACGACTTTTCTGCCAATTCCCAAGTGTTTTATGACTGCACATGCACAGCAATCGAGTTTTATATTTCTTTTATAAAAAATAAATTACGATAACCGTTATCCTAGATAGAATGACGCAAAATGAAAGTGCGCGCGTGTGCTGTGTGCTCTCATAAAACAGTTATTTTATAATTTTCGTGATTGTTATCTAGGAGTAGGCGTAGCCAAGTTGCACTAGAGTGCGTGGCCTTCAGAGCTAGAGCGGTTCACTCTCTGTTCTGTGTTGCTTTTGCTTTCAATACCCGTAACAAGAAGGACTGATAGTCTGAGAGGGTAAAGGGCGCCCTTTTAGCGCGCTATACGTGAGACCAGTCTGGCTCTTCGTTTTATTTCGTTCCCATGTATCTTTGTACGCCCGCGCACGTTGATTTGTAGAATAAACATTAACAGAAATAAAAGTGGGTCCAGTTCTGGACTAGCCTTTGTTCGTCTCTGTTCTTATCGGCATGACGTCACGATTGTGATTTGATTCTAGCTCTGAAGCGGGGGTAGCCTGGGGACGAGGCTAACCTTATATATGATAAATATTGTTAGATTTGTCCCAATCATAACAAGTGTTGTGTTTTTCATAAAACGATTGTCGGATTAACCGATAAATCCAGGGGACACGAAAGGGATTTCCCAAACCTTGTCAGTGTTCCTGGCCGTAATTAAGACGGGTTTCTAAACTGTGTAACAACAAAGCGAAATAAGGAACAGATCAGAGATAATCAATCAGCCATTATCAGCTTAGTTTAAGCCCAAAGGGCTCAGTTTTTATTAATTAATTTATTTATTTTTGACAACAAATCCATCAACTGTTACTACTTATCGTTTATTTACAACCGTTTATATGGTTGGTCGAAGCTTCGTTTAGTACATTGTCGTGATGTTTTCGCGTTCTCTCGCGTATCTACCTAATTATAACATCAAGAAAATCTTGCGAAGTTAGCTTGTATTAATTTAATACAGTACCAGGGGCGGATCCAGGATTTTTTCAAAGGGGGGGTTGTAGCATTGATTGAGGTACTTGTTTGGCGGGAAAGTAGCACAGGGTTCCCAAACGGAAGTAGTCTTATGATAATGATTATTTGCTGCAGGCGAGCATGGTTGTTTCAGGTCCCACACACGTCGTTTAGAAAAAGAAGCGAGCGAAATGTGTTCGGCACCCCTGTTTTAATAAAACTCGCGATGCTGTTGGTGTTGTCATGAAAATAATGATAATAATAATAAATCACGATGGCTGGGGGGGGGGGGGGGGGGGGGGGGGGGGGGGGGGGGGTTGCAACCCCCAAAACCCACCCCTAGATCCGCCACTGAGTACGTACGTAAATATTGGTGTAACATATTACAATCGTACGTTTTTTACCTGCTTCTAGATAAATAATTATTAAGCAGATTGTACATATAATCGTAGAGGTTTACTAAAGAAACGGCGTTCCAAGAAGGCAAATAAAACTCTCTTACAAACATACGCTTCTTATTTTTCAGCTCCTCTATAGCAGTATCCATTTCATCAAATGTCTTGCTCCTTTTCATAGCGGCAAAGCAGTGGGAGCCATTGTTGTTATGGTCACTCACCGGTATGAGATGGATTAATCCATGGCTTGGCTGTCCATCCACCTCATCTGTAGTATCTATTCTTCCTATTCTGAACCACGCCTTCAGGTTTTTACTTGCATCTTCAATATTCTGCATCTGGAGACGCCCATCTTCATCAGTGGTCATGTATCGGTTAGATTTGGTGGATTGAATTGAAACGAAGGGATTGCATCTTGCAATGCTTTTGACTTTAAATGTAGTTCCTGGACTATCAGGCTGAAATCGAAAGGCAGGAGAAATTATTGGAAAGCCATGGTGGTGCCGTAACTTTAAATCTGTCTCAGGTCTTAAACGATGGGCGGATCTCAGAAATTCAAAAGGAAAAGATAGGAAAGAGGCGTAAAGAATAATTGATAAGCCTTGAATTGAACTGCCTGTTTGCCTGTGTTAGACAAGACTTTCTATAAGGAAAAGTCCCCATGCACAAGTCAGAGTGAAGGAGTGAAAGATGGGCCTTCGACAAAAGTTCCCCTCATCGAAAACTGTAAATTGGCTGAGAGACTTAGCTAAAATACCAGAGGTAGCCGTAGGTAGCTTTGCTTGGTTATGCGGGGCTAACAAACGAATGCTGCTTAAACCCTTAAAAATAAGCACACGAGAGCACAACTGTCCATATACCTTGAGGGATATACTGTCATGCGTCTCATTGACGTAATAGCTGGTGCCATCTTGAATCACGTGAAATGTAGAAGTTGTGCCTGAATTGGTTTTGATGAAGTCTGAAATCAGTAGAATAAACAACTGAACAAAAAAATCAAAATAAACAACAGAAACGTTAAACATGTTCATGTTAACCAAATATTCAATTCTTCTCGTTCTTTTGTTGTAAACGAAAAGGAAAGAATCGATTGCAACTTTTTCTTTCATTTCATTCTCATTAGGTAAATTTTCACCCGAAAGAGCAACTAATTCGTATATTTCAAAGCAGAGGCGAGCAGAGCGTCTCATCACATTAGAAACAAGAGAGCCTCTTTGTCTCACATATATTTTTGCATACATTTTGGACTTTCTTGTCAGACAATAATAAATAAAAGTTGAAACGAAAATTTTATAGTTTGGGGACGTTTGTCCCACTTCCGTGCTCATGATTAGTATTATTGATCGTCGAGTGAAGTTTCGTCGCTCTCGCGAGCCAAGAGTCCAAAGGGTGTCTTAGCTTGATAAAGGCACGCTTTTAGTGTCAAAACTCTACTTCAACATATCATGGAATCGACCGTAAGTTTTTCAAGTAAAAAAAAAGAAAAGAAAAGAAAAGAGTGCGATACTCACATGTACTTGGTAAATTGTCAGTTCCATCGAAGAAAAGCTTACTGTTTGAATTGACTTGTAACAGATTCCCATTCTCATACCCAAAGTATTGCTTGTAGATCGAAAATATGTGACACAACAGTCCTTTACCCATCTGAAGAAAAATAGACGGTAGATGTTACTATCGAAAACTCGGGGGGAGGGGGAGGGTATGGAATAGATTAACCTCCTTCCCTCCTCCATACATACAGAAGAAAAATGGTCCAGGCATCTTTCTTCTGTAAGTACACGTGTCATGCTCTAGAGTATTGTTTGCGCATAAGAAGACACATTCATATGTATGGTACAATTTTATTGTCAATTGGTCTAGATCTGAAATGGCAAAGCAATACCTCCAAGCTTAATTGAGGTCCAAAAAACATGCAAAGAAATTAGGTAACAAAATCAAAAGACTAACATAATTGATATCATACAAATAACAATACAAATATACATCCTGAAAATATATTAAATTTAAAAATTATTTATCACATTGCATCATTTACTCAGATTGATTACTTACATTTTCCCAAGAAAACGGTTTCTTTGTCTTCACCACCAAATCTCGTTAAGATCTCGGTTCTTGCGATTCAACCTGTTTTTTTTTCTAACGGCTATTTCCAAGAATTAGACTGCTATTTATAAGCCTTGATTGTCAGTGATGTAACTATACAGTATGGGAAATTTCCTCTTCTTTCTAATTTCTAACGGACCTCCTTAAAGAGTAGTTTCATCCGGTTCTTTATTAATCACAATCAATCAAAGTGATGTGAAATTACTGGATCTTCTAGGGTGTGGGACATGGAATTGAAAGAGCTTTCTATCCTGAATTCACGTGCAATAATTTCATTTTTCTATATGTTTCGATTTATATAACCTCTTTTGCATAAGCTATGACCTCTCTGTATCCGCAGACTGGAGCTAAGAGTGTAATATTTAAGCTTTTTATGTTTTTGGCTGATGTATCTTTAAGATGAAAGTAAAGTGATTGATTTAATTTTTTAAAGATTTCTAAGACGAAAGTAAAATTACGGAACACATGCATGTCAAAGCCTACAAAGTATGCGCTAGTTCCGGCTCGTAACTCGATTACCAATATAGTGTCAAAAGTCCATAACTACATCTATTTATTAGCTTCTGAATTTGTGTAAATTCGAAAATAAGTTGACTAGACATGTACCCAAATCAAATCATTGTTTCACTATGATTACAGTATACTTAAATTTTGATTTTTCTTTCATGTCAGTCAATGTTCTGTATTTTCCATTCTGAACCATTTTATGAATAGAAAAGAGATAACTAGCTAAAAACTAGTGTGAGATGCTTCGGTGTTTCTAATGAAACAGTAATGATAAAATGGTAAATTGTACACCGTGAAAAGATGAAAAAACTTACTGACGTTTCGGACGCTAGTCCTCCGACGAAGGACTAGCGTACGAAACGTCAGTAAGTTTTTTCATATCTTTTCACGGTGTATAATTTACCATTTTATGAATATAAACTGAATTACATTGTAACCGGCTACGGATAAAGTGAACTGCATATATGGCTTAACAGAGGCGTGCACGCTTTTTAAGTCGTGGATACGCGAAGCGTAAAAACGAGTTATTTTAAGGCCGGTTTAGACGGAACGATTTTCGCCTACAACTATCGTATACAACGCGCTCGCGTCTGTCGTAGGCGAGTTGTAGGCTTGATTTACGTACACGCTAAGACTCGAGTTGTAGAATGGCGCGAGCGTGTTGTACGATAGTTGTAGGCGAAAATCGTACCGTCTAAACCGGCCTTTGCGTCATCTGATTACGAACGTTACACGACATTAACAAGCAATATGAAAATACATGATAGTTTAATTCCAACTTTTTACTGCTTTTGAAGGCATTTTTCTCGTCGGGAACTTAACATTTTTCACTCACATTGAAGTCACTACAACTCTTACCCAAATTGTTTGAAATCTGGGATGCCACAAAGGATACAAAGGATATGGGCGAGAGAGGAGTTAAAAGGCAGGCCCGTAGCTAGGGGGGTGCATAAATTACAATAACAGATAGGAATAACGCAACGGAAAGTGCGCGCGCGTGCAATGTGTTCTCCATRAAGCACGCGCTCCAAACCAATCAGAACGCGACATTCTTAACAGTTATTTTATAATGTAATTTGTATTTTATAAAAGAAAAAAAAAACTTGCTTGCTGTGATGTGTGCAGTCATAAAGCACTTGGGGATTGGCAGAACACTCGAGAAGTGTCCAGAAGCACTCCGCGCGTCGTGCTTCTCCTAACACTTCTCTCGTGTTCTGCCAACCCCCGCGTGCTTTATGACAGCACACAACACGCGCGCGCGTTTTCTATTTCTTCATTTTTACTCTTTCGGACCTTACGGAGGTCATTATCTTGACCTTGAATTTAAAAAAAAATTATTAGGCTTTTCCGATATAATATTTTCACCATTTACTTTAATCTAAATTGGGCTTCCTGTGGCCTCGGTTGCAAATTTTCGACTTTTAGTAGAAATTTTGTTCTTTGAAACCTACGCATACGTCTTGTATTTTAAGCCAATCAGATCCATCTTCATGCCCGAAAGCAGCATTTCATTGGTTTTACCTATGTAATTCTATTCTTTCTCTATGACAAAGACTGTGGACTACTTAAATTTTTTATATTGTACATTTTAGCGAGGACATACGGTGTCTATACAGTTTGTAATTTGACTTCCGGTTCTACTTGATAGTGGTCGTGCACTCGGACATTATGCTGTACGCAATGGAGTATAAGCTTACTTGTTTTCTTCTACTTGCTGTTTCACTTTTATCAGGTAAGTAAGACCGAAAGCGAATAACTTTTAGCGTTCATTTTCATTCACACTTCAATATAGTATGAACAAAAGACTGACATAGCTAGACTTGACATCTTGAACCTCAGTGTCTTCACAAACTCTTCTATAGAATGCAATTAATTCAACACATGAATTTGACTTATTTTCTAACTCCTTCCTTCCTTTTAGTATCTTATACGGCTTCAAAATGTCTTTATACTTTGCTAATGAATATTTCGTCAAAGATAAGCTTATCTTGCACCTAATTAAATTCGAAAGACAACGTTTGATACGTTAGCTGTCTCGCAAAGTTTGGTCACTTCTTTTTGTTATTAAACAAGTTAATTGTATATAGTTTTAGACCAAAGTTTTACTTGAATAAAATCCCTTTGTGTTAACTTTTGTAGGTAGGTTCAAAATTGTCGAAAACCCATATTTAAAAAAACATATGATTGGAATTCGTTTATCTACAAGAGAATTTATTTCGGCTCGGGGCTTTACACGTCTTAAACAAACAGTAAAACAAAGTCATATTTTATTATTTTATTACCCAGCTAGTAGGAAAAATACTGAATTTAAGAACATATAACGAAAGAAATTCAGTAAGTCCATAAGATATTGTTGTACTCCAAGGGAATTTCCCTGAAGAGAAAAAGGTGCGGTATGTAGATAAGAATTCTTGGAAGATAGGGAAAGCAAAACTGAAATTCCTGGAAGCATGACATCCTCATTTGGTATGTGAACCACCTGCCATCTGTTGAGAATAATTACAAAATACCACACTCTTTGTCATATTTAAATATTGGTAATCAATTTTTTCCAATATACTGTTAGTTCTATTTATCTTTTTATTGGGGATGAGATGTAGATCAGAGAGGTGGGAAGATGCCAATGGGCTGCATGGGAAGGTCCCAAATTTCAAATCTTATAGTACACTCAACAAAATTACTCGAATCTGATTGGTCGAGAGCAGTACAATTATAGCGTTAATTGTACTCCGTAGGAGTACCGAATTAAGTCGCTATGGCAACACGGCCAAAACAATGTCAAAACAATTATTTTCTATCATTTTGTACTTAAAAAACATATAAATAAAATTTTAAGGCCGTAAAAACTAATGTTTTTAATGCATTTCAGTTGCGCGATGGATTGAAAATCGGCCGCCAAATAGACAAAGATGAACGGCGTCGCTTCGCATTTTTTTACTGAAATTTTGTTGAGTGAACTATAAACAAAAAATCGCACGATCTTCTCGTACAATTTGGAATTAATAGACTCGTAATGTTTTGAAAGTTCTTTAATTGTACTCGCCTAAAGGCTCGTGCAATTACAAGAACTTACAAAGCATTACTCGTGTCTATTAATTTCCAAATTGTACTTGAGATCGTGCGATTTCCTATACAAATCTCGGAATATTTGATAAACTATTTATTGGAAGAATTTGTGATTTTATTCCTGGGGTAGAGGAAGCCAATAAAAAGGCCCCAATTTCAAATCTAGACATTCTATTTTTTTATATTTTCAGGTTTGGNTACTGTAGGGAAAGGTGACCCTTTTTAGCAGTTATCCAAAGAGATATTATAACATTCGTTTCACACAGTTTTCAACTTATAAAATCAAATCTTCTTGAATGCCTGCATGACTTCGTTGTTAATGCAATGGTTGTAATCAGGTCAGGCCAATAATTGCCCCACAGCCTATATAACTCTTCTTTTTCAATTGTGATTCACAATTTGTGTATTACAAAGATTTTAAAAGGATAAGGATCATTGAATCAAATTAATACTTTTTCATAATTTATTTTTCATTTGACTCTCTAGTTAAAGCTGATCTTCAAGTACAGATTGTTAAAGAAGGTGTTAATATATACCGGAATATAAATGAATCCTTGACTTTGAATTGTACTGCTACCACTAATGGTGGAGGGCCATTAGAATCAATCTATTGGAAAAAGGATAGAAAGGACATAAATTCAACCTTATCCTCTAATAACTGGGCTGTTAAGACCATCACAAGCATTAGTCGATCGGATGCTGGTTATTATAAGTGTGCTGCAAAATATAAGGATCGTGTAGAAGATGACGCTGTGTTTGTAAATGTCAAAGGTATTTATTTATTTATCCCCCAAAGAATGTCACTTTAACAATCTTTTCTTTTCATGTACAATATGAGATATAGCATGTGTGCTGATTAATTAATTACTGTGTTTATATCAGAGGATAGAGACATATCACTACTGGAAAGGAGTATGTGAAATAGATGTGAAAACCATATGAAATAGATGTGAAAAGTGAAAATTATCATGTGAATTTTCTCAGTGTGTGAAATGGCATGTGAAATCGTAATGGAAAGTTTCACATGCATGTGAAAAAAGGGAAATGTATAAAGAACATATGAAACTGGACGTGAAAATTCAATTTATATTTTCACATTTATGTGAAAACTTAAATTGCTATTCTAACCATGTGAAAAACCATGTGAAAATCAGATCACAGATATCACATGTATGTAAAAGTAATCTATCAATAGCATTAAGCATGTGAAATGGAATTTCATGTTTCAAAGTAAAATTTTCACATGCATATGAAAGTCAATGGGCCAGGTATCGCGAGCATGTGAAATATACAATGTGAAAATCAGTTTAGAACTTTAATATCCATATATTATATATACATATATAATTATATACATATATATTAAATATATTATATTATTACATTATTATTAAGTTTCTTAAATACTAAGTCCAAGGAATGTATGCCATGAAAAATTAAACTACATATTGATCAGTACCCGTACGAATGACGCAGCGCAGCAATTATTAACTTTTATGGTTGCACGGTGCATTTCCATTGTTCAAGCAGCACTCATGCTCTTGCAATGTAAAATGGCTGCTTATGTCTCTGTACTGTGATATGAACACTCTGTTAATTTACTTTCTGGAAAAAGCAGCTTCAATCAACCTTTGATTGGCAAATCAAATAAACATTTTTGTTATTTTTTCATAGATAATTTTGTTCATTGTTGAATATAGTTGTTAAAAGGAATACATTACTTTATTTAGCTCTACCTTCTAATGTAATTGCACAAAATTAGTTTATATAGAGATTTCACATTGTGTTATTGAGGGAAGACTGATCGATTTTGAAATCAAGTTTTTCACTTGATTCACTAAAACAATTCATATTCAAGAACATTTGGATAACCAATTTTTTATTTATTTTTCAACCAATAAATAACAAATTAGATATCTGCCTTGTAGCTGAATGGGATACCCTGTTTAAATAAAAGCCTTTCTCAGTTCTTTTGTTTCAATGAGTTATGCACTGATTTTCGGTAACACAATTCTTTCCCCAGGAAAGCCAATGATCTTTAAATCTGGTGAGCCAGAGCTATTTACTCGTTCACCTCAGTGGCCTCAAGATGGTGATCCTGTTTTGGATCTACGATGTCATGCAACAGGATCAAAAATTATCACCTATATATGGTTGAAGGATGGGAAAGAAATAAAGCAAATGAATGGATTTAGTTTTCTTCCTGCAATAAATAATGGTAAAACTCTCAGGTTGTCACCTGTAGGGAAAGACAAGCAGGGGAAGTATACTTGTGAAGCAAGCAATAAGTATGGAAAGGACAGTCATAACATTACAGTCCGTGTTTTAGGTATTTGATTAATTATCATTATCATGTTTATTTGAKTTTTAGGTAAAAATGCAAGCAATTAGTTGATTGCAGACCAGTAAAGTGCAACTTATCAGTTGATTGCAGACCAGTAGAGCACAACTGATCAGTTAGAATTCAATAATTCAGATCATTAGAATTCAGTAATGGCCTGGGTCGCACTTGAACCAATTCGAAACAAATTTGTTCAGAGAAGTCAAGAAACTGTCAAAATCCTGTCAACGTTGCATAACAAATCTTCAATTAGGTGCTAAAGTGCTGCTTTCAAGCAAGAATTTCCACGTACCACAAACAAAACCTTTTTTTCCTTGAAAAAGATCTTAGTTACTGGGAAATATATGTTTGAGAGTGCCTGCGGTTCACGTCCTCAAGTGAAGCTTAGCAAGCCACATCTAGCCATTAAAACATGAATTAGAACAACAATATCACTAAAATCATTACAATTGGGATGGACTCAGTGATCAATATGAAACTGGGTCACTATTCAGGAGACAATGTGTGCAAGACAAAATAGCAGTACCACGTGCACAACAACCATTTGTGCCGTCCATTCTGCCTCAAATGGCAGTACCACAACAATCATTAGTAATTCTTCAAGTGATTCACGTATGCCTTCACCCTTTCCCCAACCTTCTCCTGAGGTCTTGGAAACATCTACACATTAATGTCATGTTTACATTTGCATAGGGATTGTTTGATCAGAGTCCGACCCCAATAAATTTGTATTCGATTGTTGCGAACATGTATCAAATTGTTTTACAAGGTTACAAAGTTAGAACATTCTGAAAATTTGGTTCAAGTGTGAGAGGCATAATGTTGCCATTTTGACACAATTTGCTGTTTTTTTGGCAGATCGATTTGAACATCCAGTAATAACAGCTGAGAAGTCTATCATTTCTTCATACATTGGCGAGGCAAACATATTTGTCTGTAATGGTAAGAATGTTATAGAATTGGAAGCAGATGCAGCATGGTTGTTTAATGGAAAAGAGATAACAAAGGAGCAAATTGAAAATAGCAGCCGTTTACATGCTGAGGTCAATTATGAAGGGTCTAGTAAAACAATGAGGATGAGCCTGCTGATAAACCAAACATCCCTCCAAGATGCTGGAAACTATACTTGTAGAGTATTCATCAATGATGAAACTAGTGAGCAAACCACTTTATTGGTCATCAAAAGGAGAGGTAAGCTTCATAACTATTTAATTATTTATTTATATTTGGATATTGATTGTTAAGAAAAGTCCTATTGATTTTCAAAACCTTTCCTTGTGGATTCAAAATTAAAAGTTAAAGCTGCATGGAGCTATATTTTATTCATACATTTAACAATATTTCACTTTCAAGTTTTCTATTGCTTAGTGTTTGCCCCAGTAGCATATAATATATTTTAGTATTAGTAGCAGCAATTGTGTTAATGAGTGGAGGAATGTATACTACAAGTGTACACAAATGTACAATACAAGTGCTTTAGAATTCCACAGGTTTTCCTCTCAGTGCTTGATATAATGAGTATGCATTAAAAATATGTATTACAATCCCCATTCACAGTGTTATCAATAATAATTTATTATTTATTAATATCACAATGATGGGGATTGTAAAATACATTTTTAATGCATGCTTAAAATGATTGAGCTTGGTTCATTATTGATTAGGAAAAAGTGCTCAACACTACTGTATGGCACACATGTCTAAACAAATAATGGGACTGGTAAAAAACTAATAATATGTTAAATAAAAGTAGCTGGTTATTGTAGACAGAAAACATGTTAACTTTTAAGTCAAAAAAAAAGCAAAGTAATTCAGCTGAAAAGTCCTTACTTAATTTTGAATAAAGCTTTCTATTCTCTATTTTTTAGAAAAAAGACAAAGTGGAGACACAAAGGAAACAATACTTACAACAAAGGAGTTAGCTGGTCTTATTGTTGGAGTCATATTGCTCATTACTGCCATTTTGATTGTAATTTTATATTTGACTAAGAAGAAAACCAAAATAAACTATCCAGGTAAGTTTGTAAGTTTCTTTATTATCATAATATCACTCATGGCCATTAAGTGTAGATATTTTTGAATGGCACAGTGAAACATTTCTTTCATTCATTTCTTTTCTTTCTTGGGGGGATGAACATCCACCATGCATATATGCCATACATGCATCCTGGGGAATAGATAACATACATCCCTGTACATGTTACATGAGGAATACACACCATACACAACACACCATACATTCGTGGAGGCAGCATGGTCGAGTGGTCATAGCATCGGTCTCGCAATCCAGTGGTGCGGGGTTCGAGTCCTGCTGTGGCCACTATCTAGCTGCTAGACTGTATTTGTCCTGATTCCTGATTAGTTCAGATTCAGTTTCTCGACCATGCTTGGGATTCTTTACACAATTCATGTTTCTTCGATCATTTCATTTCAGTTTATTATTGTAGGAGGGCCATAATSGAAACTACTGGGTTACCAGTAATGTGATGTCACCCTCGTTAAATAAATTCAATTTATCTTATTTTATTTTTATTTATTTTCATACATCCTGTATACCTGCTGTACATGACACATGGGGAATACACACCATACATCCTGTATACCTGCTGTACATGTTACATGAGGAATACACACGATACATCCTGTATACTTGCTGTACATGTCACATGGGGAATACACACGATACACTGTATACCTGCTGTACATGTCACATGGGGAATACACACCATACATACTACATACCTGCTGTACATGTTACATGGGGAATACACACCATACATACTACATACCTGCTGTACATGTTACATGGGGAATACACACCATACATACTACATACCTGCTGTACATGTTACATGGGGAATACACACCATACATACTACATACCTGCTGTACATGTTACATGGGGAATACACACCATACATACTACATACCTGCTGTACATGTTACATGGGGAATACACACCATACATCCTGTATATACCTGCTGTACATGTTACATGGGGAATACGCACCATACATCCTACATACCTGCTGTACATGTTACATGGGGAATACACACCATACATCCTGTATACCTGCTGTACATGTCACATGGGGAATACGCACCATACATACTGTATACCTGTTGTACATGTTACATGGGGAATACACACCATACATCCTGTATACCTGCTGTACATGCTACATGGGGAATACACACCATACATCCTGTATACCTGCTGTATATGTTACATGGGGATACACACCATGGGAACAATGCAGGGTGTGGTAATACACAGATTGTAAATATTCCACATTGTTTCAGTGTGTATGCATACTAGCATCTTGAAGTTGATTTGCCTTTTGTTATACTGGACTTTTTCTGCAGAAATTCCTAAAGGTCCGTTCAAGTATGGCGCATTCGTAACATACAACAGTCAAGACTTTAACTGGGTTGAAAAAAACTTGCTGCCATTATTAGAAAAGAATGGCATTGATCTCTGCATTCATTACCGTAACTTTGAGCCAGGTGTTGCCATACACGAAAACATGGTGAATAGTGTATATAGGAGTAGGGTGGTGATAGTGGTGATGTCCAACAACTACATGAAGAGCAAGTACTGCAGAGCTGAGTTAGATTATGCTGTGCATAGATCATTGGAGGAACATGGAACAAATCCCTTAATAATCTTGTGCATAGATCCAGATATAAAGAAAAACAGACTACCCAAAGAGATCAAGAACAAGACATTTTTGGATTTTACCAGCAATGTTGAAAAGGCTACTTGGGAAAAGAGGCTGCTGAAGTATATCAAGTGGAGTGATGAAAATGAAAATGCCAGAGAAGACAAAGAAGAGGAAGAATGTGCCGTATTGATTAAACATTGATTGAAGATCATGTCATTAAGGTTCCATTAACTAGTCTAAAGATGAAGACACAAGTTTGTATTGTTTGATGGTATACAACTTCATAATCATAGGGAGGTTCTCCATTTCCCTTATTGAATAATGGCTAGTGGTAGTCATTGATTGATTGGACATTTAATATATCTAGAGCAGACCAAGTTCTTAGGTAGCAAGATTCAAGAATCTAGTCCTGACCTGTCTCACTGCAAGTACTCTTAATTTTTTACTTTTAATGATGTTTCTTCTTCACCCTACGGAAACCACTTGTCTCTTTAATGTCTAGCTTATAGCATGGCCTTGAAATGTGTGATTTATAGTAAAAAAAAAAAAAGACCCAAGTTTAACATTAGGAGTTTTTCACCTCAAAATTGTTCCAAAAATTAAAAAATATAAATGTGCAGGTTGTCAATAACACTGTGACATTGCAAGTGTGATGACATCAAAACATGTACTAATTAAAAACTCTACCTTTATTAAAACTAAAAATGAGAGATTAGGGTCCAGTTGGCTTGTATGTATGGTGTGAGTGGGTGCATATTTCATCATGAGAATGTTCAGCAATCAACTGTCTATGTAATAGAGGCCGGTGCTTATATTACTGTTCAAAACTAATGATAACTATATTGTAACCAAGGTGTTTGAAAATAAAAATAACTGGGTGTAACTCTTAGGGTGTTAGAGCTAGGGTTGAGAGTGTAATGAAATATTGCTGAAAAATTAAAGCATATTTCCTGGGCTTGAAGGTTATACAGAATCAAAAAAATAGAATTACAATGGGTTTAGAGTTAATTACTAGCTATTATGCATACTAGAGAGCAAACAATCCGTGAAACAGTAATTACTAAATAGTGCTCATTAAACAATAGAAAACAATGGAATTATGCATGAAATTGTGCTATTTCGTATTACTAAAGTTTCACAGTTATATTGTTTGTACTCTACTTTGTTCACGGGTTAAATAAAATTACTCTAGACTATTAGACTATTAGATTTAAATGTACTTAGGAAGGAAAGATAATATGCTAAGTTCTGAAATGTATAAATTAGATATACTGTATATGCATGTGCCTAATAAGCTATCATTTATTGAAACATAAGTTCAAAGGAAAACATCAGTATTCGTAATTTATTTTGATTTTAGTTAAATGTCAATTTTTAGTTTGAAATTTTAAAAAATTATCGAAATATAAACAACGTAAAGCAAAAATTACTTAAATTTCGTTTATGATTAATTAATGTTTTATTATCTAAATTAATAGCCCACTTTCGAGATAGGCTTCGCTTGTCACACACAAAGGCTTCGATGTCAGGCTTTATGCATAAATACTCACATGATTCATGAAGAGAGAAAGAATTTAGTTTAACATTTAATTGTAATCACCAACGAGAAAATATGAACTAAATGAAGGAATCCCCGCGCCCCATCATGAGCACTCTCATGCTATTTTTAGAATCTTTGATGCTATTTTTAGGATCTTTGATGCTATTTTTAGGATCTTTGATGCTATTTTTAGAATCTTTGATGCTATTTTTAGAATCATTTATTTTGTTCGTTTGTTTTTCTGCACATGCATACTGCACGCGATCTGCCAGTATGCGCGTGCCCAAAAACAAACGCAAAGAAGCATATCTTGAAGTGGGCTATTAAATATAAAACAAAATTAAAGAATTATAATAGTGCATGCTTGAGTTACACTCCATTAATTCAAACAATAAATGTTTCAATTCGAGGCATTTGGGTCAAGACATTATAAAGCTTAATTAAGACACACGGTGCAGCATGCACGCAACATTGCACACAACAGGACTGTTGCAGCGTGTCTACCCCTGAAACATGTTACACGCAACATTGCGCGCAACGAATTTCATTGTGTGAACATGGCTGCAACATTGCGTGTAACATTTGAAATTTCGAACCAATCGGCTTGCAACAAATTTATAACCGCTGACCACCTTGGCATAGCGTGCTGACAAGCGATGTTGCGTGATTTGTTTGCAACGTGTGTCACCCCGTTTCAAATTTGTTGCGTGCAATGTTGCACCGTATGTTCGCACCTTAAATGTATAGAAACTGATCCAAATTGTATCTCTAATATCTGCTTTTTTCGATTGTCAGTAGACTGGCTGAGTACTTGTACTTTTCATCCTTAGAAGAATTTTAAACTTTTATCGTCATTTTCTATTACAGTCAGTGTGTTCTAGCCACACTGACTCTTACAATGTTTCCCATTACTGACCTCGACTAATGGACACTGACTAATTGTTGTTTATTTTGGGCTCATCAGGTAAACTTAGCGATAACAACTGATGTTTCAATGTCGCTCACATCATTTTCAAAGTAAAACAGAAAGAGTTTGAATAATTTAAAGTCAGTTCAAGGTTGATTTAGAGTGTTCAGTTCTTTAGACAAAATTATTCATTCATTTGAACTGACTTTCTGTTTCACTTTGAAAATTATGTTAACGACATCGAAACGTCAGTTATCGCTAGTTTTTATCGTTAAATGTATAACAAAACTTTCTTTAATCAAGATTTAAAAATAAATCAAATCTAAACTAGTTAATCAACCATGCTTTCAACCAGCCCATTCTTTTGTCTTTTGATTGTTTTTTTTTTCGTTTCCTGCCCACCTTGTTCTCATTGGTTTCTTTCGTCATTATATAAACACTCCTTTATACCACCTCTTTCGTTTGCAAAAGGTAAAGTGAAATGTAGGGAAACGATGAAAACGTGGTCGCGTATGCCGTTTGCGGGAAGAAAAAACGGGAATCTTAATCTGCCTATTGTCGTTTTACTCGAACATGTATTGAAAGTCTATAAAAGCTATTCAAGGAGATGAAATGATGAAAGAGAAAGAAAAAATGCAAGGATATTTACACAAAAAATAAAATAAACGCAAGTGTTCACTTTTAGAGTCTAACGACAGTAAAAATAATTAAAAAGTATTGTTATAAACAATAATGAAATTTGATCAACTAAAAAGATGAAATTGTGAGAGGCTATTGACTTTAAACTTTAGCCTTCAGCAACTCGATGAACTTTAAACCAGACATTGACATCTTTTCGTAAATCCTCTTCATYGTGTATTTTTGTGGTAATCACGGCTCCACTTGCATCAACATAGAGATAACATTTCATTCCAACAACTGATTGCAATACAGTAAAATCATAAATCTTTCTGGGCCAAAATAGGGTAGATTCATTTTCAGAGTCTTTCTAGGAAAAAAAAGAATAAAACATAGTAATGATTGTGTAATTATTTTATGTATTATATGGTTAGGATAGTAGGTGCGCGCTGATCGGTCGAAAACTGTGCTTTATATTTTAAAAAAATCTGGAAAAATATTAGTGAACGGGGCACAGTGCTGACACCATTCGCGCGCGTGAGGGTCTGCTAAATCCTGTGACCGTCTTTCTATTTACGTAAAAAAATTTAATACCGAAACAGAATTAGCAACTAAAATATATCATAAAACAAAAAAACAGCTTTTTCCTTGCTCCGTTCAGTGATAAAGCACTGAGGAAGCGCTGTAAGCACTCGAGAAGTGTGAAACACCCTCCTACAGTTCGTGCTTCTTCTTACACTTCTTTGGAGTTTACGCGTCACTTCCTGCGTGCTTTATTACTGAACGGAGCACGGAAAAAGCTGTTTATTTGTTTATTTGTTAAATACAGCTATAAAAAAGGGTTGGTGAAGGAGCTTTTTTTGTCACAGCCTTATGGAGTTTCAATTTGACAAACTTTTTCTGCACGGTTCTTCGGCATATTTTCTTGTGCGGACATTTATATATAGACATAATACATTTTAAGCAACAAGCAATGAGCAGCATGCAACAGTGCACGAGGCAACAAAACCTAGCTTTACGAACCTTATGTATACACCTAATTCAATAAAACCTTGGTCATATCGCCAGCGACAGGCAATAGGAGATTCAAACGAAACCGTTTCCATGCCAGAATAACCTATCGCCTTTGGCGATGGCAATGTTTTATTGAAATATAAATAGGTGTATATGTTTATTGGCAAGGTACGTACATGTTCAGTTAGTAGGATTTTCATAGGATTGTTAGTAGATTAAGATAGATACAGCTATAAACAGCCAATTTCTGAATGGCGTAAAAAGCAAAATACTAATTGAACAGAAATGGGAAAACACTAAAAGAAGCACTAAAAAAACACTAAAAGCAACCATGCTTTAAGACTCTATCTCTTAGTGTGCAATCTTAAAGAAATAGAAAACGCGCGCGCGTGCTGTGTGCTGTCATAAAGCACGCGGGGGTTGGCAGAACACGAGAGAAGTGTTAGCAGAAGTACGACGCGTAGCGGAGTGCTTCTGCACACTTCTCGAGTGTTCTGCCAATCCCCAAGTGCTTTATGACTGCACGCAGTACAGCAAGCAAGTTTTTTACTTCTTTTATAAAATCTAAATTACAGTAACCGTTATTTTAGATAGGAATGACGCAACGGAAAGTGCGCGCGCGTGCAATGTGCTCTCATAAAGCACGTGCTCCAAACCAATCAGAACGCGACCTTCATAACAGTTATATTATAAAGGGATGTACAGCAAATGTGGGATTGTTGGCCTACGAACTTACTAGCGAAATTATGCTAAACGCCCTCTATATGATATACTGTAAGGGGTTTCCAATAGGCTCGAGAAATGTATATTGATAAGGCTGTTGATAATATCTGGTATGCTTTGGACTGGGGCAACAAACAGAGCCCTAGAAGTTATGCTTGTCACATTTAATCGGGTCCAAAAGCAGCTAGATACATGCCAGCGATGAGCTCCACCATTGCCAGGGTTTCATTTGCTTAAGGTAACGAAGCAAAAACATGTTGCACAGGCTTTTGTGTTCACAGTTGACTATATATGTTGTGGTGGTAGTGAGGGAGGTGATCCAAGGAGTAACTTAGAGTCTAGTAGGTTTGCAGACAGGCATGATTTTGTCCAGACTGACCGTAATGAAATCCATCAGCAACGCACTGATTAAGTATGAAATCCTAATAGTCATGTGTTCTTAGGCTGCGTGCGTAATGTATGGCAGGGGGGGGGGGGGGGAGGGGAAGGTGGGGGGATCAGGAAAATTTTGGTAGGAAAAAATTGGGGATGGTGGGCAAATTGTTATCAGAAAAATGGGGGGATGCACAATTTGTGGGAGAAGCTACAAGCCTTGCTTAGGGGGGATCGTATTTTTTTACATGACTTTAAGGGGGGTGTTAAGAATTATTCTGGACATTTCAAATTTTCACCTCCCCCCCCCCCCCCCCCCCCCCCCCCCCCCCCCCCCCCCCCCCCCCTGCCATACATTATGAACGCAGCCTTACCGTAGTAATCAAGTTTTCAGTTTCTTTGTCTATTGCTAGAAACACCTTATCTTCAATGCTTTGGATTTTGTAAGCCAGCTTGTCATCAACAGTGTATTTGTATATCTTAAAGACAGCTAAGAAAGAATTTGAAAAATCTTAGGGACTTGTCTTGACAAGCAGTAAGGTTAAAAACAATGAGATGGTACATCTTGACTCAACACATGCTGAAGGCATTTAGGAGATCCCAGAAAAATTGGGTGTATGTATGTTATAAAGGAAAATTTTGAAATTGAGGAGCATTTGTAAATGGCTAACTTAGTTATGTCTTTTGAGCCCCCAAAAAATACTATTAGCTATTCCATGGCGGCTAAGTAGAATACTCGCTACCGAAGACTGGGTTAAGTTTGATTTGCATTGCATTGTGAGGTTGTTTTAGGGGAAATAGAAAATATATTGCGATCTCCCTAGATGAGCCGTTATGGCTCTTGGAGATAACAATCCTCATCCCATAGTTTGCAGCTACCATCTTGATCAAATCCCATGCATAGTCCCAGCCTATGTTTTGCTCAAATCTCGATCCCATTCCCATTTTTGAACTGATTTTTTTTTTGTTAGTTTGTGAAACCCAATCCGAGTGCATAAAATCCGTTTTTCCCAGCCCAAAAAAGGTAAATCCCATCTCTTATTTCACCTCTTCAGGACCCTCGATATAATTCAAGACAGTGAAGGATTAACCGGAACCGGAAATATCAAAGTCAACATGCACAGCTAAATGCGAACGTTTGGCTGCATGCCAGCGGCACGTTCACGAAATGTGCAACAATCTCGAAAATAGTATTTTAGTTCTATTACCTCAAAAATTACTCAACTCCCCTTAGTCTCCTACGCAGTCGCTACAGGTTGCTATCAATAGACGTCACTTCCGGTAATAGCTCTTTTTTGTTGGCTTGTAGAATCCTGGAGGTTGTTTTGATCTCTTGTTTTCTGGTTTGATGTCGTGAAAATAGTCAAATACAATAGTTTGAGGACTTATTTTAATATGTTTTGACTTAGCATCCGCTAGTTGCCCCCCAGTCAACCGCTTGTTTGCCCCCCAGTCAACTCCAAAAGTCACGCGATTGATAGTAAGCAATTAGGGGAGTGAGCGTGGCGTGACGACACTAATGGCGGCTGCGTAGGAAACTTAACTCCCCTAAGACTAGCCTCATGCGCAGGAGGCTACTTGAAATCTAAATATTATAATATTCCTTATGTTTGAGTAAGAAGTTCTCCGTGAACTTACTGTATTGGTCATTCTCTTTGCCTGTAGCTGTTATAGCTCCATTTTCTTCCCTTAACAAGGTACCATCGTCTATTACACTGTGGGCATGGATCTTCATGCTTCTTGCCATTGACAGGAATTGACAGCACAGAGGCCGATCTGCCAATTGCTAAAAATCATAGAATATTACTAAGTAAAATTTCAACATCATTGTTTATCTCTCGCCATCCCATGATTGTTAGTTACAAGATTCTTGGCGCATTTTATAGGAACTTACTACACACTCCATCGTGGTCTGTTAATTGAAAACTTCTGAAATAATCCTAAAGATCTAGGTTGGCTGGTGGTCTTGGGTCTCGAAGAGAGCGGCTGAGAATACGAACTGAAAAACTGTTGATTTGGTTTTGTAACAGCACCACGCGAGGAAGTTTTCCGCTTGAACTCTGCTATAAATCGTCCTGTTTTTTTCATGAATTCGACGTAAAACAGGAAGTGCTACTCAACCGGAAGTGAAGATTTGTTATACAACAAAATTCTGCGCATGTATTTTAGATGAATTCTGCTGCACATAAAATATATCAGATATTTTTTCACCAAACAGCTTAGTTGAGAAAGTCAAGCTTCTTAAAATTTGCTTAAAATATTTAAAAATTTTAAGTATTATATACAGAGATGGCGACTTTATGGATGGGCGATGTAAGTATTGTTCTATCTCTGATCTTTCCCGCCGGTTTACCAGGGGTGCTTCAAGAGATGATCATTTATTGCATGTCCTAGTAAAAGTGCTTTTTGCAAATTTATATTAGCTTATTAATTTTCCCACAGCTGGACACCTACATGGACGAGGTGTTTGTGACCAATGCCTTTGCTGCTATGGGTGAATCAGTGGTTTCAGTGAAGATGATCAAGAATAGGACGACTGGGTAAAGATTACACTATACACGTGCACTTGTGTCAAATATATTTATATACTTATCATCACAAATAACCAATCTTGATTTCTTGTTTAAGTTTTGAAGATCTTTCTTTGTACTAAGTAAATTAGTTTAAATAATTTTGATTTTGTGTATTGTCTATTATCATTGGTTGTTCGGTATCATAGTTGTTTGTGTCTGTCTGTCACGGCCAAAGGATGACCAATCAGTATTCAAAGATCAGCCCTGTTACCTCACCATTTTACTTTAGTCTTTGCTGAAACATTATTGGTTAACAAACATATTGGGGGTATTTAACAAAAGAGTTCTCGTTTGCTTTCTTTGTTAACAAAGACTTTATGCTTGAGGATGGCAAGACCAGGATAGCAATGCCAAGGATGATGGCTTGCACATGAACCACTTTGAAAGTGCTCATGTTATCATTTTGACATTGCCCTCTTTGATGCTCAACTAACTATAAATTACCATAAAGGGAATCATTTTCCAGGGGTTATTTTTAGCTCAGTCATACCTTGTTTCTGGCTTAGCTAGTGTTACTGGTCAAAATGACTGGAAAAGTAAAGGTTTGACAAGACAAGTTCCAAATTCTTGCTGGACATCATCCAATGATCAGCTACTATTTTCAATAGCTATTAAAGACCCATTGCCAATTACCGTGATGCATCACAATTTGTTTACATTTTGAATCGTGTCACCACTGAAAAAACAATTCCAACCTTTTGAATAAGGCCCTAAAAGGGCCGTAAAATAATGTAAAAGAATCATTTTTGTGCCTTAGTGCTATGTCGGAAAAGGATTTAATATGAAGTTATTATTCAATATATGAATCTTTGAATTTCATGGACCACAAATTCATCTGTGACCGCGGTGCATCACGGTAAGTGGCAATGGGTCTTTAATACTAATATATAGTACCAAGTTTGTTGGCAATCAAGGCAGGCCAAAAGACAACAATGATGATAATAATGATAAATAATAATAATAAATTATTATTGACGATTATAATAATAATATCTAATTTACAAGTCTAAAAATACCTTAACATATTAAGGATGATAATAATAAAATAATAATAATAATCTTAATTTCAATAATGCTAACAAAGTGATTTTTTTGTTTGTTCATCACATGAATGAATGTTAACTACCAATTAATTTTCCAAAAAAAAATTTTTTTCAGCTTGCATTGCTTGACCTTGCTTTGTCATGAAGTTTTTGTTATGAGTCACTCGTCAATAGTTGCAAACTGTCATTTGTTTTACAGGGCCCCTGCAGGATATTGTTTTGTTGAGTTTTCTGATTCTGCCTCAGCTCAAAGAGCTTTATCCAAGCTGAATGGGTTACCTGTGTCTGGTACTAACCCTGTAAGTCTTTAATCTAGCTGTCTATTTGTAGTGGGATATGTGTCCATATGAACCATGTATGAAGTGCTTTGTAATCATGTATACTGGTCATCAAGGTTATCAATCAATGATACAAAATTGTTCAATTAATTTAAGGCAAATATCAATGTATGTTACAAACGAAATTTTAGATTTCTGTTGCATGAGAGATGAGAGAAAATTGCAGCATTGCCTAACATGTCTTGCAATAACAGCATCAACAATGTGAACAACACTAATAAATGGTCAGAAATATGTTCAAGTGTTCTAACTCTTCTCTGGGTCATTTCATATGTTCCATATATCAATAGGAATAATTAGATTATGATTATAAACTAGCTGGAGAGTCCTGGCAGGGATATAAAATAAATAGGAGAAGATCATGGTAGTTTAACCTGAATAAATGTGCTCAGCTACCAGAGCATTATTCTCTAATCTCTGACAGTTAATGAAGTTTTATCAATATTATAGCCATTATATATATATATTAATTATTATTGGCAACAAAATCTAAAATATGCATAAGTCAAACCTTTGATGCTTAATACCTTTATCTCATCTGTATACAGACGTGGCCTATGTAAGATGACTGCGTAATTACATTCATTTCATGTCTTTGTTATACACAGGTGAAGAGATACAAGCTTAACTGGGCAACTTATGGAAAGGAATTATCAAACTTGTGAGTATCTGTAATTTAACCTTTAGTAAATAAGTGCTGTGAGCCATCAGAAGAGCAGCAACACTAATCTTGCATTGCTCCATTGGGATCCCTGTGTGCTAGATGCCAGAAAATATCTCAATTTGTGTTTGTTGAGATGATTTTTCAGAGTATGCAGTACTTGTCTTCAGTGGGCATGAACTACTTTCAATTGACATTTCTGTCCAATAGATAGTTTATTGTATGTTTAAGCAAGCAAATCATGTAATCTAAATCATGTCAAACTGAAATTTATTTATTGTTTCAACGGTTTATTTATTTATATTATTTATCTCACAAAGGGTTTATGGACATTTAGGGGCAAAGCGGACAGTGGCCATGATAAATTCACTACTTCTGGTATAAACTTTATTGGATTGTGTTATGATAACCAAAAAGTGCAGATCGACATTGTTCTCGGATTTCAGTACAAGTGTAGGATTTGTGTAGTGCTAACTTTTTTGATTGAAGTTTTTCTTATTGCTATTTAGAGAAACAGATAAACAAACCAAGTAAATAAATATTGTTCAAAAGTCAGAACATTTGTACTGGAATCCAAGAACACAATCCAACACCATTTATCCCATGTGACAACTAGAACTGAAGTGGTGAATTGTATCCTTGTCCAACAAAAGTGATCTTATTTGGATGTTTTCTGATCAATATCTCTACTAAGTACTGTAGATGTTGTACCTGAATGAAATTAGTATTATGGAAATACCAGCTTAGGGACTTTTCTTTTCTATTGTAATTATTGTTTTCTTAGTATTGTTTTCTTAGTATTGTTAGGGATAGCTATACTTGTTGTCAGTCAGAGTATTATTGAGGTCGCTACACTATGTCAAATAAATCACATGAAGAGACAGACATTAAATATGCAGCAACCATATAARTACTGAGATATCACTTCATGCCTACTTGTAGCACTTTACTCGCAATATATACAACAACTAGTCTGTTATATCCAATTATATCACACAAAGGAAAGTGCCAGTGTTCTGATTAATTTTGAACAATTTTATTTTAGAGGACCAGAATATTCTATATTTGTTGGTGATTTGACACCAGATGTCACGGATAGTGTTTTACAGGTACATTTGTTCCCTAAATACCATGATTTGCTTTATCTGCTTTAATTTTATTATACGACACTCAATTTCCTGTGTATAATACGAACATTTTTCGAGTGCAACTACAGAGTGATAATGCACGGTCTGTAAACTGGTTTTGAAACGTTTTCTCAGTTTTTTTCATGTCGTACAATAAACAATGTGGGGCTCAAAAAAATATGGCCACTTTCACTCATAAAATTATCTGACTGTAATACACAACTACCAGCAGTGTAATAATCTCTATATAAATATAGTGTATTTCTTAGCATGTATTCTGAATGCAGTGATATAAACACAGTTGTAATATGCAAATTAATCTTGAATGTTGCACACATTGAGGGCCATGAGTAACACAAAAGTAATTATAGGGTATTGGTTTCAATCTTGACATTGTTCAAGTTGTACTTAATTTTTGAAATTTTTATAGGTGTTTTTTCAGCAAAGATTTCCTTCTTGTAAGGCTGCTAAAGGTATTGGAATATATTGATTATTGCCTACATTATATTAGTGTAATAATTTTGATAGAAACAACCCACTTCAGATTATAACTCAAATGGGTACCCGTGGTGGCTTGATTCAGTAATCTAAAAGGCATTTAGAGCAACCAGGGCCAATCTCGCCCTCTCTTCTTTACCACAGGAATCCCAATACTCAAATAATAGTTCCAAGCCAAGGTTGGAGTTGCCATGCATGACAAAATGTATAGTTTTGCTTGGCATGGAAACTGCCTCAACTTGGAACTATTATTCATGATCACTAAACAGAACTGTAAAATGGAGTATTGCTAAATAAAGAGAAAGCAAAAGGGTGAAGAATAAAGACAAGGCTATCATTAATCTAGCACCAGAATTTTAGGGTTTTAGTTCAAAACTATAATGTCTAATTGATTTATTTAAAAACACTGTTGTTATTTTTAACATAAAAATGTCCAATATGCAAATATATTTGATTCATTGGTACTTGACTGTGTTATTTATCTTATAGTTGTACTAGATGCTGCTGGGAATTCCAGGTAGGCAGTAACAATACAAATAAGACAACATTATTAAAACAATCACTTTTATTACAATTGTCTAAACAGGGAGCCCAGGGAGGTTTTCAGTGGGTCCTCTGACAGTGGTGTTAGTGTTGTTGTAGGGGAAAGGACAGGGCTTAAAACAATGGCTGGTAACAGTCACCTGTCATGATGACGGACCATATTAGTTTTAGCTTGGCCATACCTTGTTTCTGGCTCAACRTTACTGGTCAAAATGACCGGCAAGGCAAATACTTGACCAGACAAGTTCCAATTCTGAGCGGACATTGTCCAATGCCTGGCTGTTATTTTAAGCCCTGAAGAACAAGTTTCTATGAAGTTTTTAACATATACGTAGCAGACTTAGTAAAAGATTTTAGGTCGCAGTCATTTACAAAACATGAAAGCAAAAACCCAACCATTTTCTGTTGTGATCTCAAAAGGCTTTAGTTTGAGTACTATCTAGATAAATATTGTGGTAGTGGTTTTCATCAATATAGCTTTGTATTAATATATAAAATTAATGTATAAGCAAGTCATATATTGTTGCTTGCAGGGGTTATGGATTTGTACGATTCTTTGATGAAAATGAACATAAAAAAGCAATGACAGAAATGCAAGGGGTAGTTGGGTGCGGAGGAAAACCACTTAGAGTCAGTGCTGCGACACCAAAAAGGTAAAAGACTATGTTTGTTATCATGTAATGAATCCCATGATTGTGCATGACAGTAGACATGATGGTCCACTATTCCTGGCCCACATGATACCTTTGTGTTCTTGAACAAAGATGTCTTTCTTTCGCAATAATTTACTGTGAGGACACACTAACCGGGACCTCTGGAAAAAAACTGACCAATCAGATAACGGTAAGCTAAACAGAAATTGAACTGATAACAGTGTCAGCCAATCAGATTATCACGTTTTCACGCTCTTATTTTATTGATGCGCTATCTGATTGGCTGGTTAAAAATATTGAACTAAATGTTGCAATATGATTGGTTAATGAAGTTAGTTTATCTAAGTGGTCCTGGTTGGAGTATCCGTACAGTAAATTGACTAGTTAATTGTACTAGGGGATTCTTTGGAGATGCTTAGAGCTCTGTGGTAGTGGTAATACTCGTTTCCTCATGTTGTTGAAACCAGAATTAAGCAGAAGCCATGTTAACATCATGAATAAAAAAAATAATTAGAATTTGATGTGATGGTTCTGTAATTAAATTATTTAAGTGGACCAATAATGTAGATGTTGTTATTTCCATGCCGCATGGTTTTGAAATGTGCCATGATTTTATTGATCTTCAGACCACAAACTACTGTAACAACACAAGCATATGGGGCCACAGCGACAGCAACTCAGTATAATGCCCAGTATGCACAGCAATATCAACAACAATATCAACAGTACATGCAAGCCTGGCAGGGCTATCAGTATCAGCAACCAAACTACTATCAACAATATCCACAGTATGGGACAAACATGTATGGACAGGACTATCTACATCAAACTACTCAGGTATGTTATCCTAAAGCACTGAATAAACTGCTTATGGGCCAGACATTTGGGAAATTTAATACACTTTTATACTAACTGATCATGAGTTAACCTTAACAAGAAGAGCCAAGATCATCCAAACATATTCAACTATAGACAATTAGATAGATAATTAGATAAGCAAGGAATTCTGAAAATTACTGGAACTGAATGAAAGACAGAAAGAAATGATTTTTTTAGAAGACTGATCAGTATTGGCTTTGTTAGATTCCCAGTGGCTTTAGGTAATTTGCAAACCTGGTGGGTGACTCAATACTTAAAGCTTAAAAGCTTATAAACATTTTCGTTTTGTTATTAGTTCAATTATAAATGGTCAAATGTGTTTGCTTTCTGAACAAATAATCAGACATGGTAGTTGGTGTAATGAGCTGAATCATGAGTTTTCAATATAATCCTTTCTAGTTGAACTGCACATGGTGGTATATGACCACCATTTAAAGCAGATAATGAGATTCAAAGACTTTTATCAGCTTATTGAAACCCATGAATTGGCAAAAAAAAATCATTATAATTTGAGAAAGCATTTCAGGATAAGTAAGTCTGGCAAGTTTGGACAAGAATGTTATGGCTAAAGGAAACAAGTGTCCCCATTTTAATCTTATTTATTTGATAAGGGTTTTCTAATCTTGAAGGTATCCTGTAGGGCTTAATGCACCAATAGTGGCTTTGCAGCATCTCATGATGCCAGGCACGACAGGAGGCAAAGCCATAGTCTTTTTCCTCTGGGAAACTGAATTCTTTTTCATTGTTCCTGCCTCTTGTCATGGCTGCCATCACGTGATGATACAAAGCCTCTGTACATGTATACTGATATAATGTTGTTTATTTTTAAGTCATATGAACAAGACCAGTCAGCTATGATGGCTGTAGACACCAGTGTTGAAGGTACTGATTATTTGAGTGTTAATTTCATAAAAATGGTTATAAAATTGGTTTCTCAAACTATTTCAGCTTGGTTTGGTGTCTGAAAAGATGGAAATATATTTGCTATATGGGTACGTGCCGCCAAACAGGGTATGGTTATCAGAGATTCTACTCTGGAACAGGGTATATAAAATCGCACTTGCTCTGGGACAGGGTATATGAAATCACGCTATCTACTAGATACTACRGTATCTACTAGTTTTGCAATACCGGTACAGGGTATGGTTATAAGCGATCTTGCTCTGGAACAGGGGTAGGGTTCAGAGGGCTCAGCGGCACATCCCTACCCTAAACAGGGCAAGAGTACCCTCCCCCCCATGATATTTTTATTTATTACATTTTTTCAATGATTTCATCATAAAGTAGGACTAGAACTCTCATTAATTAAAGTGGCTATTATGTACTTTCACTTCACAAATCACATTATGACACAGAATAATGGGATGGTGATGAATTCTGGAGTTTAAACACYGTTTCTTTTTCACTCCCGATTATACACAAACATGTACAAATTGAATATATGCTTTTAAAGGGTAAAAATAAGAACATTTGTGCAAATTCTGTTGTTTAAATCCTCAATCGTGATTGGCTAATTTGTATGAAAATTTGTATCGATAGTGGCCTTGATTGGTATAGTCGCACTGTAAGCAAAACTATTAGCACCCAAACTGTTTCTTTATGCAGTGCATTAAATTTCTTTTTAAGCAAATAAGTTTGATTATTATCTCATATTAAATTGTCGGTTTTTCAAACATTTTAGATCCCAATGAGCCCATCGATGTTGCAGCAGAAAATAAACTAATGGCTGAAACTGAGGCTGTAAGTTCATCATGTGGTCTGTAAATAATGAAATAATACTCAAGGAAGTGACTTCTAATCTTAAAATTATTACGTTTTAGGTGACATTGTTTACAGTATTTCCAGAAATTATCCATACTCACCCCCCTCCCCCCATAGAGGAATTTGGAAATTCCCAGGGGTAGGGGGGTCAGAGAAAGAACAAAATTAAAGAGTTTGAATGGAAGAAAATTGGAATTTTCAAGGGTTGGAGGAGGGGGGACTTATGCTATGATAAGACATTATTTTTTTGTACCATAGGTTTGACTTTTTTTCTTTATTTCATCTAGGAACTGTTCTATGAGCTAGAAGGTTCAAGATGGCAACCTGTGGAATCTCTGTCACCCAGCCCTAAAATGCTCACTACATAACAATTTAACTAGCAAAACTGGACATTTTATTAAGTTATAAATATTATTACAAAAAGTGAAACTTGTTTAAGAAATGAAATATTGACCTAAGTCGTCTTTAATTAACCAGGTTAAGTCAGATATTATTTAAAAGCTCACGAAAGCCTGGCATGGTCCACAACTGCAGATCATGGACATGCGTCATTTGTTATTCAAACTTATTTACTGGGACCAAGGACGGGACCAAGGTAAACAGTGTGTTTTGTGGTCCGAAGAAGAATGTTTCAGACACAAAAAGACACTGCTTTCCCAAGTAAAGGTTCTAGTAAAGAAGTGATTTTTTAATTTAGCCATTCTGAGGTTGAGGAAAAATCTGGGACAGGGAATGCAATGCATTGTGAGTGTGTTATGAAACACAATTATTTTATTTCCGGAATGGCATCGATTTCATCAGGGGCAGATCCAGGGGAGGTTTGGCTTTGTGCCCCTACTTCGAAGATAACCAATACTGCTTTTTCCCTTTGATTCAAAGTGGTGCACCCCTCCCTGGGTTAACCTTGTGCACAGCACCCCTCTCTGAACAAAATCCTGGATCCACCCCTGTTCATTCACTAATAAAAACAATCCCACAATGCACTGTATTGCTAACTTGACCCATTCCTCTCTGAACTTTGGAATGTTTAATATACCAAGTGTCAACGAACAATTTTTTTCAAGTTTTGGTGATTTATCACTTCACAGGGACTGCCAAGGAAGGGGGAATTTTTCAGACTTTTTACATTTTTAACCCCAATGTCAAAACTTCCCGGTCCTTATTTTGGTTTTGTTAGTCAGTGTTGAATAAGCCTTGAAAAAGTGAAATAATTCGTGTCGCTAATTAAGATCCAAAGTGGTTATCTAGTTTATTATGAAAAATACAAAGGATTATTTGATATGAAAGATTAGTCATGTTGATCCTTCAATACCCCCTCCTCATTGAACCTGGATTCCCTCCCCCCCCCCCACCCCTCACAGATTTGAAAGGACCTGAAAAGACTTTCCTTGGCTGTTGGACATGCTTTACTTATGTGCAAATGTTTGGGTGTCTGTCTGTTATGATGCTCTACTGTCTGTCCACCCATCTGTCTATCAAGCCACTATGCTTCATCATGACACACCTTACTCATCAACTATGAACAAGAAAGACTTGCTGGAACTCAGTAACTTTTTCTGTCACTTGAGGGACTGACTGTCTCTAACACTTGTACCATGTGAATGACACATGGTCCAAAATAGGAAATCATAACGGCATAAAAAGAGGTCTATTTCTACCATTGTTTTTTGTGGAAGTCCTACTTTTTGTATGGCAGTCCATATCTTCTACATTTCTTTTACATTCCCATAGAAAATCTGGCTCAAAAATACTCAGAAAGCATACAAAATGAACACATAGTTTGTTAAAGACATTTTATTTCTTGTTATTTTCACACGTTTTTTGACAAACATGAATGGTATACATTCTATCTCGAATATGTTATCATATTATTTACATAAGCATTTCAATGAGAAAAATAGTTTTTATAAAAGCTTTATAAGTATATTATTTGAAACAACCAAAACTGCTTGTGAAGGCAATTTGGGTACCTTTTTGAAAGATATAGCAAAAATCAACTAATGACAATTCTTTATATGAAATATCAGCGCTTGTATAGCAAAGCCACTGGTTTTAATAACAGACATGATAAAAAGAATGTTTTCTGAACACCTTTTTTTGGTAGTGACTATATGTCGCGAGAATCAAATATAATAAACGATAATGGATGAGCCCGGCAATGAGATTTATACAGCCTTTAATCCATTTAATTGTAACTTTTAAATACCTTCCATTAAAAATATTTAACACCTTAAAAACTCTAAAAGAACTAATACTGATCTAATGAACCCGATGTTCGAATTAAAAACATTATGAAATAACTGTTCTAAATCTCGCGTTCTTATTGGTTGGGAGCGCGTGCTTTATGTCCTTTATGCTTTATCCGCTACGCGTCGTGCTTCTCCTAACACTTCTCTCGTATTCTGCCAATCCGCGCGTGCTTTATAACTAACTGCACACACTGCACGCGCGCGCGTTTTCTGTTTCTTTCTTATACAAGCTCTTTTGTACATTTTGTACACATCATTAACAACAACATCACAAATAGATGTAGACTTTATAATGGGACTAAATAAATATATTTTACTAAATCTAAAAACTAAATTCAAGGAATGACTTATTAGTCCCAACTGATTCAAGTGCTGCTTACTGGGGCATTTGCCTGTAATATTTAGTTGTTTGTAAAGTCGGCTCAGCTCAGCTATTTATTCTCAAAGATTATGTGATAAGCTTGAAAACCTACGTGACTCAAGATAAATTGCTGTTTAGAGCAACGATATAAATATATAGTTACAGGGTGCCAGGCAGTCGTCGGTTCTGAAGCAGTTGGTGTCCGTATTAGCAGCATGAATCGTTGGCACATTTTCTTACTTTTGCATGTTTGGATTCAATGGACACTAAGTGTGTCTGGGTGTCCACGTACAAGGAAGCGTTATTTAAGTTGTTGGCCGCTAGATCTCGATCTACCAGTGGCGTGTGCGAGATTCAATCCCTTCACGAAAGAACCTCTGCATGGCGCAGTCTAGCAGAGGGGAGTTAACTCTGGCATGGTTAGCAGAGGGAGTATTTCTCAGATGGTGACAAATCTCTTAAACTTGCAACTTTATCAGAGGAGCGCACTTGGTGTCTGTCAATATAATCATCGTAATTGAGCAAAAATACACTCGACGATCGATCTGCTGTTTGCGAAGTTTTGCTTCGGTCACTTGTTCTTCTAGTTGGTTCTGACTTAGAAGAATTAGGACTATCATCCCGATCCTTGTTCATCGGAGTTGACGTAAAACTAAACGGGTTTCGGTCTTCCTGTGTCGGGGTGGCGTGATACTTCACCGAGTCTCTCGTCTCTGTCTCTCGTCTGCTTGTACCTTGTATTCTAATGTCATTGAGGAGGGTCGGTAAAACAGTAGGTATCTGAGACACGTTGAACGAACCATTTCGATGTAGCCACTCTTCGTGTTCGTCGCCTGGTAAAGCTGTTGAAGATCTAGGGAAACTTTCGCCTGATAGATAATTCTCGTATACCCTGGACGTATTTTCCCGTTGAGATAATCGATTATAAGGTGACATACTTGTTGATAAACCTCTCGCGCTCAGTTCGCTTTGGTTTCTCGTGGCCCTTGGCTGTCCTGCGCTTGCATTTTCACGACGAGTAGTCGATTCTTTGAACCTTCCTGAGGGGAGAACCCTGAGGGTTCCAGCTGAGATTTGTCTTAATTCCTCTTCCAAGTTCTTCTCCCAATCCTTTTCCATTCCATCCAGAGTACTCGTAGATTCAGGGGTAATCGACGCAACGTCGGAATAATCGTTTTTAATATCCATTTCCCAATAAAGACTGTCTTCATTGCTTGAGGGTGCTAACTCATCTAATTCATCATCTGAACTGAGGTCCAAGCTGTTTATAGGCATTTGTTTTGGAACTTCATTTGGAAGCATCTTGAATTCGTCACGATCTGTTCTCTTAGATGAGGGATACCGACTAAAAGAACTAGGACCAGTATTTTCATAACGGCTCAGGCGGTACTGATTATAAGTTGGTGGAGTTTCCTTGGTAGTTACGCTTGCTGCCATGGATAGCCGTGGATCTGCCCTAGCTTCTCTTGAAAGGCTGTACCTATTAAGAGATTGTTGAGCTTCTGATACGGTACTGCTGGTGATAGGAGACTGATAATCGAGGTTGGAAAATCTTGTTTTAGGCTTGTTATCTTGAGCGCCAGAAGATCTGGAAATGAGACCACTAATACGAGCTGCAATACTATCTTGGGTATCCATTAAATGTGTTCTACTACGTAAATCAGTTTTTTGTTTCAGTTCAATTTCTCTCATCTTAAGATTATTGATCCACTTTTTCTCGAGTTCACTTCTCTCTAACGATAGTTCACTTTCTTGTTTGTTTTTCTCACTTAATTGCTGCTTTAGTTTTTGTCTCTCGGCAACTTTCCTTTCCATCAAAGCCTTTTCTAGAGAAAGCCTTGTTTGCAAGTCATTGATCTGTTGTCGTTTCATCACTAGTAATTCTTTTTCTTTCTTCAAGTTCTCTTCTAGTAAGTTTTGATACCATCTAGACTTAACTAGTTCATCCCGGCCTGGGCTGCTTTGAGTACTCATCCCAGCTATCTGTTGAGTTAGTTTTTCCTCAACGCTGTCGTGCTTTTCTCGGAGCTTTACGAGCCTATTTACCAGCAATCGTCGCTGCTTTTCCAGATGCTGTAGTTGATTTGCCAACATTTCCTGGATTCTGTGGTCAGCAAATTCAGTACACTTGATTTTTTTTCTAATATCTTCAATCATTTTCTCGATTTCACGAATGTGTGCCTGAATTTCCTCTTCCTGTTTTCTCTTACTTGCTCGCAAGTCCTGCAGCATTTCCAACAAATTTTCTCGACTAACTTTTTCAGGCGATAGAGAAGTACTGCTAAAATTTGACGATGCGCCACCCATTTTACTAAGATCACCAAACCTAGACTTCAAATCCAGTATCTCTTGTCTTAGCTTCATTTCAAGATCACTCTTTTCTGTCATTAGCTGCTCCATTACCTTTACTAGCTGCAATAGCCGTATAGATTCTGAACTTTCTCCCACTGTTTTCGTTTGTCGCTGCATTGTTGTCTTGAGGCTTTCTATTTCTCTTTGGAGCTTCTTGTTTTCTATCCTAAGGGTGTCTGTCATTTCTATGGTGTCACTTATCACGCTTCCATGTTTTGGACTTGTTTCTCGTAGCTTTCTGTACAGTTCGGTATTCTCGTGTCGAAGTCGGGATAATTCTTCCGTTGACTGCTCTTGACTACTTTCAGCTTTGTTTTTCAAAGTCCTAACCATCTGCTTCAACTCCAAAACTTCTTGGCACTTGCTGTTGAGTTGTTCTTGTAGATCTCTTTGCTTTCCTACGTAATGGTCCTCAAGAGCTCGTCTTGCAGCCTCGACCTCTCTCTCTTTGTCTCTGGCCAGACGCTCTACTCTTTGCTCCATCTCATTTCTAACACTAGTAATTTCTTGCATGTGGCTTTGAGTCAGTGCTTTAGAGTCATTCTCTTTTTGAACCAAAGACTCGATTCTTGTCATTAAGCTATCAAATTCTTGTGAGTGATATCTATTCACATCATCTTCCCGCTGATGGAATCTCATTTGGAGTTCACTAGTGATAAACGCAATCTCTTCTTGGTGTGTTATTTCTTTCTCCTGTATTTCACTTTGAAGACGTTGTATTTCCTCACTAAGTCCCTTGTTATCTGCTCTCAGTGATGTTATCAACTCGTCATTTGTATTATTCTCAACAACATCCTCCTTGTTCGACAGGGTTTCTAGTTTGCTCTTCAGATCCAAGACTTCTTCTTCGTGCTTTGCCTTGGATTCCACAATTCTGTCCTCGAGGTTTTTAATCTCCAAGATATGAGTTTCTAGCGTTTTCTTAGATACCTCAAGCTCTTTTTGCAATGTTGCATGTTCTGTCTTATTTTCCTCCAGTTCTTTGATTTTTTGTTGAAGTTCAGCATTGACTCGTTCTATTTCATCTTTGTGTTCTCGTGATTGTTTTTCCATATTGGTCTTCAATTCATTCTGAAAGCTTTCTTGAAGCTCCACTTGGAAAGAACTTTCAAAGTCAAGTTGTTTCTTTAGAGTTTGAATTTCATTTTCGTAAGTCTTTTTCAACGCTTCTTCTTCCTCAGTCAATGTTTGAATCTGCAACGTGAGTTCATCAACCTTGGAGCTTCGTACGCCTTCTTCACTCGTTGCTTCCAGTAGCTTTCTCTCGAGGTCCTTCTTTTCATTTGCAAACACTTCGAGATGTTCTCTCATGGAGGCTTCTTGTCTTTCTTCCAATTCTTTTAACTGGAGTTCTTTATCTTCATCTTTTAGCTGGTTCAGTTGTTCCAAGTTTTCAACCATACCTTTCAAGGTAACAATTTCTGCTTGAAGTTCGTCAGATTTGACGCGATTTTCTTCTTCTTTCTTGGATAAAAGACTCTCATAACTTTCTTTCAGTTTCTCGTTACTTTCTTCGTGTTGTTTATTTAGTTCCTTTTTCATTTGCTCGATACTCTGTAAGACATTGGAACTTTCGGAATCTTTGATGATTTCAAGCTCCTTCACCAGATTGGACGATTTTTCCTTCTCTAGAATCAGTTCTTCTTGCACAGCTTTGAACTTGTTTTCGTATTCGTTAATGACGTGATCCTTTTTCGTGACAACGCCCTTTATTTCATCTAATTTGTGGTCTTGACTCTCGATTTCTTGATTCTGTTTTTCAATCTTTTCCTTCAAATTCGAGTTTACTTCTCTTTCATTTTGCAAATCTGTACTTAACATTGTAAGCTTTTCACACACTTCTTCATTTTCTATTTTTTCACTTTCCATTTTCCTTGTCTTTTCTTTTTCACTGGTCAGATGTTCTTCAAGCTCGATTATCTTTTCCTTCAAATGTACCACCATGTCCTTCTCGTTTTTCAGCTCATTCTCCAGAGCAGAAAACGTCTTCTGCTTCTCCTCCATCTCCTTCTGCTTGAGCCTCAACATTTTCTTAGTTTCTTCGAGTTGCTTACGGAGCACGTCTCCTCTGTCTATGGCATCATCGAGTTCAACGCCCATTGCTTCAATCTTTTCGTCATACATCTGTACCACTGCCTGCCTGGCTTTATCCATATTTTGTAAGTCTTTTTGAAGTTTTTCAATGCGGAGAGCAGCTTCTTGACTCTGTTTTTCTTGTTTGGCTTTGGCGATTTCAAGTTCTTTCATCTTGTCGATTAATGTTTTAATTTCTTTAGACTGATAATCATCTCCTTGACTTTCCACCTTGTTTTCAACGTCTGCCACAACAGCTTCTTCTCTAGCGGGAAGATTCTCTAACTGGCAACGCAGCTTATCATTCTCATCTATTTTGACGTCCAACTCGTCTTGTAAGCTTTTTACTTTCTCCTTCGCTTCTTTCAGTTCCTTTTCAGTTCGCTCGACTTCGTTCGACAGCTTTTCCAGCTTCTCTTCGAGAATATGAATATTTACTTTATAATCGTCTTCTTTACTTTCTACGTCACTGTCTTTTTTCTTCGACTGTCGCTCAAATTCTTTTAGCTTATCTTCCATCTGTTTTACCCTTTCAATATCTTTCTTTTGCTTGATGTTAATACCTTCCAATAACTTCACCTTCTGACTCAGCTGGTTGATTTGTTGAAATTGGTCCTTTGAACGACTTCGTTCAGTGACTAATTCATCATATATTACTCTTAGTTTGGCTTCGTATTCCTCTTTTAGTTTCTGTCTCTTGGCTGTAGCTTCTTTAGCCAGCTGTTCTCTTTTCCTCGCGATCTGCTCTTCAAGCTCCTCTTTCAAAACTTCAAGTTCTTTTTCATGCTGACTAAGCAAAACGCCAAACTTGTTATCTCCTTCGTCTTCGAGTTCTCGTATAAGACCTTTGTACTGTTCATTTTCTGCTTTCAACCCAGCAATTTCGTCCTTGTATTTCTGTACGTTCTCCTGTGACGAACATACATCATCTTGCTTCAAGGTGAAACTTTCCTCGGAGGAAATCGAATCGTTATGTGTCTTGGTTACTTTAGTTTCTTTTTGACGTTCTGCTTCGGCAAGGAGATTTGCAATTTCTTGTACATACTTACTGTTTGTAGCCTCAAGTTCAGAGATGCTTCCCTTCTGGGTCTCTATTTCTTCTTTTAAATCAATAATTAAAAGTTCGTATCTTTCTTGGACTTTGTCGAGATTTTTGGACTGTTTTGTTTCCTGTTCGCGCAAAGAAAGGACCTCTTCATTGAGTTTGTTCAATTCTTTCTTATGCTTATCTGCAGCATCTTTTATTTCGTCCAACAACTGCTCATTTTCAGCCCTAAGATTGTCAAGGTTGACTTCTAAATGTTTATGTTCAGTTTTCAATCTCTTGTTCTCTTCACTAAGATTGTTAAGATCCTGATTACCTCGAGCTTCATTCAGTTTTTCAAGTTCATTGGTAAGTTCATTGATCTCACTGGTTTGTTGAGCAATGACAGCTTCCTTCTCGGTTTTAAACACCTCAAACTTATTGTTGGAGTTCTCTAGCTGCTCCTCGGCCTTCTTAAGGTCTCCTTGTAGCTGTTGCTTGTCCTGAATAGCTATCTGTAAATCTCTTTCGCGTTCTCCTGTAAGAACAGTCTGCTTTTCAATTCGTGAAATGAGTTCTTGTTTTTCAACTACATGTTTTTCCTCCATTGATGTTTTAGTTTCCTGGAGCTCACTGCAATTATGACGAAACTCTTCGACGCTCTTCTCTAGTTCTGTTATCTTTTGCGTAAGGTTTTGCACTTCTTCAGGATTGATCTTATTCTGATCCGCCTGGTTGTCATGGTTCCGCTGAAGGAGCTCTTGTTCTAACTCTTGTATCCTTTCCGTTAGTTTTTCCATTTCTTCAAAATCATAAGTCGAATTTTTCCTTTTCTCTTGGTTGTTTGACGCGTTTTTGCGCAATTCGACCAGTTCACTTTCCATTAATTGACTTTTCCTTATCATGTCATCTTTGGCAACCCCGTATTCACTTTCCATTACTTTATTTGCATTTTCAAGTTCGTTACAATGACCACGATAATATTGGAGATCTTTATCAAGCTGACGCATCTTCTCATTCAATATCTCTATTTCCTCTGCGTGACGATTATCCAGAGCTTTCTTAGTTTCTTCGAGTTCAGCACAGTTGTTGATGTAGGATTCTAGTTGTTTCGATAGCTCGTCTACGATTTTGTTCAGCTCTTCCTTCTCGATTTGGCCTCTTGAAATGGCATTTTCTTTCTCCTCGCAATCCGTCCTTATTCTTTCTAATTGTTCATTAAGAGTTCGGATTTGGCTTTCATAACTGTCTGACATGGATTGATTTTCGTGCTCAAGTTTTTCTACTTTTTTTGTGTAAATTGTTACTTCTTCTTGAAGGGTCTTCAACTCTCCCTCTTCTCCTTCCTCGTACTTTTTCTTCATATTTTCCAGCTGAGCTCCAAAGTTCATCACCAACATTTGATTTCCCTCCTCGAGTTCTTTCACTTTAGTCTTGTACAAATTCAGTTCCTCTCCAAGATTTCGCAAGCTTTCCTGTTCTATCTTCTCATTAGCCGAGTATCGTTTTTCTACCTCGTTCATTTTTACTTTCAGCTCTGACAGATCCCTGTTATACTTGTCTAACAAATCCTTATTTTCATTTTCCAGTTCTTGGCACTTGTCTTTGTACGGCTCAAGCTCTTCCATGACTAGAGACAATTGTTTTTCGAACTGTTCTTTTTGCTGTGCTTCAAATACTTCTTGGTTCCGTTGCTGCACCTGTTCCATCTGAGTCATGATGTCTGTGATTTCATTTTCATATTTTTCTTTCAGAGTTCGGTGGCTTTCTTCCAGTTCGCTGCGTGCTCTGACGCTATCCTCGTCGTATTGTTTTCTTAAAGTTTTTTCCACCTTGTTGACTTTTTCGTTTAACTCACTTTGGTACTTTTCCTTGAGCTCTTTGGCTTTCTTCTCAACGAGTAGTTTACACTGTTTCTTTAGTTCTTCTTCGATGTACTTCACCTCTTGTTCCTTCTCATTTTTAAAAGCTCGTACTTGTGTTTCCACGCCTTGTAATTTCTCTTCATAATCAGCTACTTTCTGTCTCTCCATACGTAATTCCTGTTCCAAGCTCTCTACTTTAGACTTAAACTCCTCTTTGATAACGATAACATGTTGTTGTGTGTTGTCTTGCTCAATGTACGATCGCCTACGCTCATCTGATAAGCCCCGTAACCGTTGCATCATTTCTGCTATCTCTTCTGTATGGCCGTTCTTGAGAACTTGAATCTGATCCTCCATGTCATTAGTAACTCTATCAAGATCTGATTGATGTTGAGCACGTAATTGTTTTTGAACACCCACAATCTTCTCCTCGTACTCAGCCCTTTGTTTTTCGAGCTGTTGTTCATAGTCATCCTCTAATCTACGAATGTTGTCTTCGAGTTCTTCTTGGAATTGAGCTTTCATTCTCTTACACATAAAATCTGCTTGCTGTTGGTACATAGCATGGATGCGGTCCAGTTCTTCATACATCTTGGGATCTTGGACTTCAATTTGAACCGGAATTAACTTAAAACTGTCAGAATCTCCATTTTCAGTTTGCAGCCCATTCCAGGCAAATGAACCTATATTATTCCCACTGATATTACCATTTGCTACTGGCTGATTCCTGGCAATATATTCACTACTATCACCTTGTCTTGATAATCGCCTCAATTTTTCCACTTCAGCGTTGGAGCGTTCCAATTGAGATAACAGCTCATCAATCTCGAGCTGGTGTTGATGAATTAACTTGTCTTTGACTGTCATAACTTCACGTCGAAACTTCGTTTCTTCCTCTTCCATTCGCTCTTCCATGCCATCTTCAAGATTTTTCAGCTTAAGTTTCAGTTCTTCGATTTCCTTGAAACTTTTGTTCAACTGTTCATCTTTGATGCTTTCCAGATGAAGTGCTTTTTTGGCTTGCAGCTTTTCCTTGAGCACTTGAATCTCCTTTTCATAACTTTCTTTCAGTTCGTTCATGCGTTCCTCTACCAGTGACTCAGTATCACTATTTTCAAGCTTTTCTAACTGCGATCTAAGATTTTCTAATTCTGCTTCGTGTTTTTCGAGGTCGTTTTCCATCTCAAGTTGTGTTTTCATAAGCTTTTTCTGGAGCTGATTGATGTGGTATGTCTTATCTTCTATGCAGTTTCGTAGTTTCTGGATTTCTCGTTCATATTCTTTCACTTTTTCCTCGTTATCGTCGTTATTTTTGTCTTCAAAATGTTGAGAAAAGCTTGAAGACAAGACAGCTAGTTCCTCAGCGTGCTCTTCCTGGAGTTTTTCTTTATTTACTAACAGTTCTTGAATGTTGTATTTCAACTCACCAACTTCTTTTAATAAAAAATCTCTTTCTTCCACAACCTAAAATGTCGATCAGATAACAAATGTATTATTCTGTTTAAAACTGTAACAAATTGTATTATATTGTTTAAAACTATGATGTAGAAAAGCGAGCAAAACATGAGAAAAAGAATGGCAAATAAAGCGGAATATTATACTGATGCTATTTAGCACCCCCCCCCCCCCAATTTATACTTTCCTCTTATTCATTTGAATATTCTATCATATTCTTGTCTTTCATAAGGTCCGTACACAGGACAGTGGTCTTACAGCTATTTCAAAAAAAGGTTGGCAAAGGTTTGTTGCCAATGTGGCATATTGCTTACTAAACTTAAGGTGGTTGGGTACAGTTTATAGCCGACCGCATCAAGCTTGTTTACTAAGACCGTCAAGTTAGGTGCATCGTAGTTTGTAGCATGAATGTTCATCGCAAGAATTAGCATATCGTCAAGTAGCTTGCGGGAAACGCAACGAAGCATTAGAAAAACAAACTACGATGCACCTGACTTGACGTCTTTTTTTAAATGTTAGAACCAATCAATAAATGTTCGCATTATTTTCTCAAAATCTGCGCCACAGAACTTTTTAAAACTTTGATATTTTGTAAGTCATATATCATAGTTTGTGTAGATGAAGCAATTTGAAAATAAAACGAGGGAAACACACAGAATTTTTTTTTTTTTTTTTTTCTTAATTTCAATATTTCTTAGAACATTGACTTATTTAACGCTTTTTTTTTTTTTTAATTAACTATTATAAACTTCAATTATTGTCAAATATTTGATGAAAGTTTCATGGTAATTAAATAAAAGCAACATTATAAACGAAGCGAATAAACAAGCTTGATGCGGTCGGCTATAAACTGTACCCAAGCACCTCAAATGTATTATATTCATATGTAGAAGAAGAAAAAATATACAAAAAAACGTGCTGACAAAGTTTAGGAAAATTCTATTTCATTGTGACCTTTTGCTGATGGTATTCACATTACCTATGGTGCAATTCAGGCTTGGTATGCAACATGCAACGAAACCACCACCAACCTTTTTGAAATAGCTGTATGAAATAGCTCTTGCTACTGGTGTATGATTGATAAAAAATGGCACGTAATTACCTGTTGATATTCAACCAGCTGTGACTCCAGATAATCAACTTTGTTCTTTAGGTTAGCAGCATCCAAGACAGAAACATCTTGGCAGTTCTCCATGGTGAAAAAGAGCTATTTTTAACAAACCTAAAAAACACAGTTCAAATATAAAATTAGAAAAATGAACCTATAGCTAGTGTATACACCCACTTGCAAGAATGTTGTCGTACGAAAACAGAATATTAGTGATTTAGTGGGACAGGAATTATATTAAAAAACGAAAGATCACTGAAGCTGAACTTTTTCTTTTGTCTTTTAATGTATTCCTTTCTCACTAAATTACTAATGTTCTAATACCATATGACAACATTCTTACTAGTAGGTGTATTACACTATGACAGACTAAGCTCGCAATAGAGTGGAGCACCCTTGGGGGAAAGCAGGCTTAGATTTGAAAATATAGTAGAGTACTATTTTACATATAAGACTAAATTTAAAGTAGATGGCTTGGATGAGGCCAGTAATTTAGTAGTAGAGACCTTAAGTAGATATCTTATTGTGATTCAAAAAGCAGGGAGGTTAACCAAAGCTCCCTGTATGTCTGAACAATCCCTAAAAACACACTGCAGCTCTTTTCTGCAACAGTGCATATTTTTGTGTTTTGGACATGGCTCTATATATGGTTTTGAATGATTTAAAAGAATTGCAATTCATATTAAATTGAAAGAAATAAGATTTGATGGGAAATAGGATTGTCATCAGCTTGGGGTTATTGTTTCTCCAAAAAGAATCACTGGCTATTTTACATGCGCCTTTTGGGACAGGAAGCTAGCTCAGCCTCTTCCAAATCATGTTTTCCATTGGGAGTACCTTGAGTCGTCCCATATCAAGCTTTACCTATATGTTAGTGATCAATTCCATATTTGGATTGAACGGAAAAGTGGCTAACAAAAAGGCCGTTTTGTAACAAATTTGACATGAATATTTTTGAAGAAGAAACGAAAAGAAAAAAAAGACCAGTTAAAAAAAGAAAAACTTTGGAAAATCAAGGAAGGATACGGGGACGATGCTAACTCGTGGGTCTGCCTCGCAGACAACAGACACAGGGAAATACAATACTCAATGTTTGATATGAGCCCCATAATTTTTTAAACCTATCCTCCTCAAGCCTAAATGGCACATATAGGGCCTATATGATTTATAATCAACTCATATTTCATCAAGATAAGTCTTCAACATTATGTTCTTACAAGCTGCTTATGTTTTTTCCCTGCTGTCAATCAAAGTCTAATTGCTACATCCAGTGATAACCAACTTTAGTTCAAAGCAGTGCAAGAAAATCCTGAAAAAAATATCAGGGAGGATATCCCATAATTTTTGATATACTTTTGATATACTTGTAGATATATATAAAACGTCAAAGCTCAGTATGCACACACACACATATATATATTCTTAGCATAAACCTACTAGCATTTTATACTATCACAAATCCTGCAATCTGATTGGCTAACGTACTCACTATCTATCCTGTGATAGATAGCAAGTAGCGAAAAACAAACAAATGCATGCTCAAGTTTCGTTGAAATCTCTGCTTGTTCTCTAAAAAATCTTTACAAATCGATTGTAAAAAAGACAAGACTGTATCAAGGAAAGGAATTGAGGTTTTGAATGGTACAGATAAGTAAAAACTGAAGAATTATGGCAATTTTAACACGAAAAAGCAGCCGTCAGATTTCACTGAGATTTTCATGTGCATATTATTAGCCATGTTACGTTAAGCTGTATAACAAATAAACACTATTTGTGCCTCTAAACTGGTCTTTAATCTTGAGTAACTACAAACATGGCGGACTACACAAAGGCACCCAATTCCACAGGGATCCCATCTCTAACACAGGAATCCCACTACCGTTACAGTCAGCTAGATAATATTTGTTTCCAATGATATGATAGTGTTCTATTTCGCAATGACTTCAGCTGCACTTTGTGGGGGGAGGGGGGACAAAGAAGTTCAAGAGGTACATGACTTCAGCTGCGCTTTGTGGGGGGAGGGAGGACAAAGAAGTTCAAGAGGTACATGACTTCAACCAAATGCTGATCTCTTTCTAAGAGAGTATTCTATTGGTACAATGGATATAGAGACTTTTTTCAATACCACTGCAAGGTCACCGTCATTCTCACTTTGATGCACAGTTACTTTAAGATGGTGCTGGGAACTTTGCAGGGGGCTATTATATCCACAGTAATCATATCACCGCATATCAATGTAATTAAAATACTTTACCAAGGTTTAACATGTTAATGCATGAATAATAACATGGAATCTGAAAACATGCAAGTGCTGAATATCTCTCTGAGTCTTTTAAAGAATTCAAAATGAGTTGTAACTTGATTCCCAAACAAGAGCTAATGGTTTGTGTTAATCGTAGAAAATTAAGTTATTTTGCTTCACTTACATATACAGATTTCCAATTATTTATGATCGTAGCATATGGCCAGCAGATATCTTATATATTTGACAAAATATCCTATAACATATATTCAAATATTCCAAGCATTGAAAACATCATGATGTATAACACATTATATATAACAGCGATAATATCAGTGGTGATACTGATTATGAAACTGATAACAAAAGTGTCTGTGAAATATAGAATTACAGAAATTCAATGAAACAAAAATGAAATAATTTGTGTGTTTAAAGACTGACAACTACATGTCATAAATCAGCTCTGAAATATTTTTTCTCATTGGTAACAACTATCTCATTATAAATCCAATCAATTTGGATCAATTAACAACACAACTAACAACCTCGACTAGACCCCTAACCTGGTGTAGCCATTACTATTTGCGATCATCTTAATTTTTCTTTTTGTTTGATTCATGCCATTTTAATTCAGATGTATTTTTTATATTTGTTTTACTTATCTTACTTATCTTAACGGCATAATTCTCACAAATCAATGTATATTTGGAGAGAATACTGCAAGCAAAACAAAGTCTTGTTATTAGCACTCTATGCAGCTGGTGTGTGTTTGTGGCTAAATTTGAATATACAGAGATTTATCCCTGGAAAATGTAAATACTTTATACCTTTTTGTCAGTCAAACCTTGCGCACTATTTTAGAACTAAAACAAGGCCATCACATTTTTGATTTGATTACTAGCTATAAGAAATAAAGATCACTGAAACTAAGAGCTTTTACGACAAGATTCTACATATGCATTCAGCTATCTTCAACTCCACAAGTACACTTGGAGATCGAGTTAAACTAACCGGTTTTTCATCCCCTTTAGACATGTACATTCTGAGTTTAAGATTAAATGAGGCGAAAAATAAAAGCAAACACAAAATTTAGAAAGCAACAACAGAAGTCCTATGTTGAACTATAGGATTAAACAAATACCCTAACACAGTAAAAGAGTACTTACTATTTTAGGAGTAAACGATCTAATATAGTTTCAAAGATGTTTGAATGTAGTAGTTACTTTCTCTATAACAGGGAACCCATTTAAATGTCGATCGATGAACGTGCAAGCGTTTCGATTAACGTTCCCTTTCGCACTGTAATGTCCTTTTCTAACGTTGTGATATTTCAAAATTTGTCGATTTTAAAAGCGATACTAGTAACTTTGGCAATGTTGATATTTAGAAGCTTATTTGATTTGATATTATGTAGCCGGAGATCTCTCCACGATGATGTTGAGCTTTAACAGCAATTTGAAAGAACGATTGCTTTAGTTCCATACAGTCCAACCTTTTCAATAATACGAGATCCGTTTCAACGACCAACACGAGTGCAATACTAATTTACATAAACGAGACTGAAAATTATCAAAAAGGAAACCCTGATGCAGGATGATGGTACGATCGAGCCAGAATTGTCCTACCGGATGCACCTGCCCAAGGCTTTCTGTGTCATACAAAAGTCAGCGATTTTGGCGACTAACACATTTTGAAGTGAGTCGCTTTGATGAACTGACTTGCCGAATGCGACAACCGACACGAGTTCAAAAAAAACATCAACAAAAGAGTCGAGTTTATAAATTGAGAGCACTGATTGTCATCCATTAGAATCAATTACAAAATTTATCGCTAGACCAACGGTTGAAGGTTTTTATTCAAAATATTAGAATTTCACTTTGAAATAAAAGATATTAAATTCGACTTGGAATCGGGAAGAATGTCAAATAGCGAGAGCTAGCTACCCTGTAAGTTACGGCAACCGATTATATTTCATACTGTCTCGACAAATGTCGAAATACAAGAATAGAACGTATGATCTCTGTGGCTAGTAACCTTAATTAAACTTCTTAGGATTTAGCATTTGATGACAAGGAAGGTCCAGTGGAAAATAAAATGATCTAGAGTTACGTATCGACTGACATCTTGGAGTATTTTGATTTGACTTGACTGGCCGTTAATTTCTATCGTAAGAAAGTTACGTAAAAAGCAAGGCAAACTAAGCTATTTGGTCTTTACTTACCTATTCGATAGCGAGAATTATTTGATACAAATGCCATCTTGTTGAAGTATATGTAGTTTAGAGTCCTATATTGATGTGAAAAGTCGAGCTATAGGAGGCTAAGGACAGTACTAAGGGAACGCTTACAAATGACAACAAAATGGCTTCGGCTTACAACCAGTAAGCTTCGTTCCGTGTGACTATTGACACAAGAATCAAGCTTCGAATACAAAAACTCGGTGAATTATAGAATCCTCTGGCAAGTTCCGGCCAAGTAACCACACTTAACGAGCAAGCATGCATCTATATCGACCATTCGCTTCGAAATTCTCCGATCGCCCGGGACGAGTTTTCTTTGAGGGGTTTGGAAGCCCAGTTCTGGTTTCAAATGTGTTAATTATATATTTTAGGAATGTAAACAATAAACATGAGACATTCGTATTGCCGTACCTTAGACTTTGGGTTGAGCTATTGTTTTCCTTTGATAATCCCTTGGTCTTGTGAGATTCAGATTTGATTCTCTTTTCCTTTTGTTCAGCCCTGGGTTATGACAAAACACTCCAAGACCTCTTACATGAAGAAGCAGATATTTTTCAAACATTAAGCTGTTGATTGTTTCCAAGCATTAACAAGTCGAAAAAAGTTCCAAAGTCGGGCACTGGCGTGCTTCTGAAAAATTAGAGTTCCATGATCGTTAATCTCCAAATCCTTGTGTCGCTTCTACAAGATTGTTACTATAAAATAGTCAGTGCAGTATTTGCTAGCATAATTTTGCAAAGTGATTCTAAAAACCTTGTGATTACTTTTGTATGAGAAAATTGTGCGCAGTCAATTAAGGCTGGCCAATAGCTTTCGAGCTTGCTTCTTCCTAAGACTCTTTTCATTGTCTGGTTGGTTTGCTTGAACACAATACGGTGTAAAACAGTCATCGGACAAACAATCTGTCAAAGTATAGAAAAGGAAAGTAAAACGTCAAAAACTGACATGTCAAAGACTCATTTTGTGGAATAGAATCATAGGGCTAGTTTCATTATTATAAACACAACCTGCAGGAGTTCCTAGTTGCTTGATGTATATCTAGCTACTCAACCAATAAGTTTACAAAAGCTCTTTTCTTGCAGAAACTAATATTTATACTTGATAATCTTTACAGCACGCGACTGAGAACATTGAGAAGGACTTTGAATTAAGGTGTGAAATATTAAAAATGGATATCAAAATGTTAAACACCTTTTCAAAATCCAATCGTTGATCGTTGGCAGAAAGATGACGCTTTGATAATCTCTCAGTTTGTCAAAAGTTCTAGATGTTTTCAGTTGTGTCTTTCGTAGAGTTATTTAACTTCGTAAAAATAATTGTATTTGTATAGTTACCGTTCCTTGACGAAAAATATAGAGTACTTGTGTTGGTTCAGAACTTTTCAGAAAAATGATGTTCCATTTCCCGCCAAAACACACTCAGACGCGTTTCATCTTTATAGAGAGTTCCCGCCATATTCATAGCTTCATTAAAAAAGATTTGTTTACGAACGGCCGGCCAAAGGCAGGACCAGTATTCGAATGAATGCATGTTTCAGGCTTTTACTACTACCATCATCATTCGTATTTTTGTTTTATGGTTTTTATTTGGTAAAACAGAATTATTAAACTTAAACTTGGAATAAATAAACCCTGTAAACCAAATTCAAACAAGCCTCACTTCAGTTCGGTTCGGCTTGCGTCTACGACTGGTAGTCCAGTCAGTCTAAGGTTTGAGTTCAAACTAATGTAATAGGATTTTTTCACTGCTATTATGTCAGGAGAGGTGTCCTAAATAACATACTAAAAATCCAAAAAAATCCCTTCTGTAGAAAATCCTGCAAATTTTGATGTCCCACCACAGGGTTCCCAAATCATTAAAAATAACAGCCAAGCTTTTGTATGCTGTCAATGCAGTCGGCAAACCAAATTAAGATTTTTTTGAGCTACTGCAATGGGGGTATCTTAAAGTTTGAGGGTTTCACGTTTTGCCATGATATTGAATGAAAGGATTTCGGATTTACTTATTCCAAGAATACGGGAGTGTTGTGTCATACCTGAGCAATGCATGCAGGCTGTTCCCAAGGCGCATTTGGTTTGCCTGATATTCCCACCCGCACCTTCCTAAACAATGACGTCTATTTTGGTTAACAAAATTATTAAACAAATCGAGTTCATCAAGAACAGCATGGTGGCAGGGGAGGATGATGAGAAGAACCATGTCTTCACCTTTAATGAATCAGTGCTGTAGTTTATTTTCTGCAGCAGTCTGCACCGCGATAAGTCCGTCGATCTCATATACCAAATATCGACGGAGTTCAGCAACTGGTAGTCAGAGTCCGAGTTCGCAGAATATGGAAAACCGCAGTAATGTTCGGCATGCGATATTTTGCGTGAAAATATCATGAAATAAAATAAAAATTCAAACGCCTGAATAGTCTGAATATGGTGAATGTGCAAAAAAGTGACGAGACGCGGGATTTCGGGGGAAAATAGCGCGTGATTTGGGAGCCACCCCCTACAGACTCTTTTTAACTCGTGGATACGCGAAGCGTAGAAACGAGCCTCTGAGGGTTTGAATATGCAAATGTTATCACTCACTGCACTATAGCGTTAGCAAAACCACAGGTAGCCCATGCGGTGTTTATGTGAAGGTTTTACTAAGAGTTTGCCAATATGGATTATTTTGAAAATGCTGAAATAAATGCTACGACCTTTTCAGTTTTATCTTCACCTGTATTTTATCTTGGTCTCTACTAAATTCCAGCCGCTTTAGAGTTTTTTGAGCCGTTGAATCAGTGAGGCAAAGCTTTTTACAATCGTCCCGGTTGTATCATAATGCATGCACTAGTCAGTTGCCCTATTTCACTATGGCCTCACTGCTTGTCATGTGGGGGATAGAATCGCCAAATCCAATAGAAAATTCAACAACATTTGCTCCTAGCGAAACAGTCTAATCTAAAATGGCCTGGTTTTCAGATATAATATGTGTTAATATGTACTTTAAAAAATTCTGAGCGTTTGCTGGCTATTCTACTTCTCTTCGTGGATTGATACGGGTTTTAGAACAATCTTCGGTGAATTTGCTTTGATTTGACCCCCTCCGACGACCATGATCCTTCGCGTTTAAACAATAGATTGTTTTGATGTGACGTCATAGTGAAATAGGGCAATTGAAACCCCCGACCCCCGTGAAATACCGGGGAATTTAACATTTGAGTGGTGTTAAGGTATTAGGATACGAAAAATTACGATTTGCTCGAAAAAATTTTTTGTTTTGAAATTTCGTAACTTTAAACTTTTGTTCTTCATATGTTAGTGAAACTTCTTACAATTTTTGATTGGAAAAGCCGAAATTTTGAGACCAATCGAAATCGTGACTTCATCAAGACCGGAAATGTCCCGTTGTTTGCAATAACGTTGAGTCCAAATGCTCCTTTGTCCTTGTAAAAAGATCCTACATTGCGATCGTCCAGAACAACAGATAATTTGACAAGTGATGGCAAAATGGAAGGCTCAAAGTGTTTTGACCAACACCATCGTGGCTCTCTGCAGTTTCCGGCTCCAAACAAAGAAATGCATTTTTCTCAATTTTTTTTTTGCCGCTCTAAGACCTCAACTTCAAAAAGCTAAAAGGCCCTTGGATTTCATTCAATTCTTCTAAAATTTGGAGAGTTTAAAAAGTAACTCATGATCCAAAAAAGGGTGTCTCCGATTTTTGAAATGTAATTTCTTTCCAAAGTTATGACGCTTTTTACTCTAAACAACACTCCAAAAGCAATCGCCAAACTTTGATCAAAAATAACGAGAGACATAAAGCAGATATCAAAAATCTGGGACACCCTTTTGGAGCTTATTTTCTCCTGAGTCTGTTAAGACATTTTTCGCAAACATAGATTACTTTTTCACTGAGGCATGGTCAAATTTCGCTTGGAGGACAATAATGTGAACAACAATTGAAAAAATCGTATTTCAGAAAATGTATACTTTGTTTGTGTTATACTATAAAACCAGCGCGTTATTTAAGTTTGCGCGCATAGTGGTCGTAAACGTATCCTAATAYCTTAAAATCACACATTTTCCCGGGTAGTCGGGGGCACGTTCACTGTTAAAAACCCCGCTATTACGTCTAGTCAGCTGAGTTTCATAATGGTATTTAATAATTGTAAATGAGCAATGCTTCAGTAATAAACATTATTGCGAAGCAGTAGTTTTAATAGATTAATCATGATCTGATTCTACATTCGAACTTACCGAAACGACTGAATAAAATCCGCGTATAAGAACCTGGGTTTTAAGAACCTGTTAGGCTAAAATTCTTACTTTAAAAAAATGATCAAAAAAAAAAAAAATCAGTTGATGTCCTTGATTTAATGCTTGTTTTTCGTTTTGGTTTTGTTAGTATCTAAAAGGAATAACATGGCTTGACATCAGAAAAACAATTAACATGACAGCTTGAAGAGGGACCACAACCATTCGCAATTAACGTTTGAAAGGTTCAAAATGAATAAAGAGTAGCTTTTACGAAAGAGAATTTTGTCGCTTTTTTATTGGTCAAGAGCCATATTAAATAAAACCTGAGTTACCCAAATATGTTTTTCTTCCAAACTTTTCCCATGTTTTTGTAGTAAAAAAAAAAATCTGATTAATTTTTCCATTGTATTTTTATTTTTGTGGATCTAGGCAGTGCATATGCTTAAGGGCGGATATAGCCAAAATTTTAGGGGGGGCTATAATTGAGTTTCTTCCGTCAACACAACG